GGCAGAAAGTCCTGACAAAAAGTTCTTCTTGTAGAGCCGCGGCTGCTGCTGCTTTATTTTGTCATCAATAAAGTGAGAGAAAATTTAGACTCAAAATAAAGCAGTCAAAGGGGAAATTCTACCGCTTGATGCTTATGATTAATCCTCGGGTTCTGGGTGTCGTCTGTCTATCAACAGCAAGAAGATTATCCAGAAATTGAATAAGGTTTAAGGCAAAGTTCTGCACACACATAAATCTTTCTCACTTTCACTCTCTGTTCACCCCGTGTGGGTATGATCCCTTTATTGTTAGAGATTTACAAATTTATGGACATTATTTGTTGTGGGAAAGATCCTTCATTTATTGATCGATTCCTCTATAAAGCTTTCCCAAATGGAGCCACTGCTAATGGGACATCTATCATTCTGTATGGAAATGATATCCAGATCTTTGGCAAAAAAAATTAGGGCAGCGCCAAGGACTGTTTAATGGCACATGGACCACAGGCGACTATTCCCTACAACTCGTTAATTAGGAAGTCATTGAGACATTCTATACAGAACTGCAGAGATGAATGAACAATTGCAATGCCTCAAAGAATCGACTTTCCATTAAAATCTTACATGTAATTACTTTCATTTTTCCATTTCTCTGCAGCTACCCCATTTCTCTTTGTGTACTCTGATAATCCTTTGGCTGATTGCTCTGATTTCTGCGCTCCAAGGCATACTTGGCACAAATTTGCACTCAAAAACACCAACGACAACCAGGACAACCCATGGCGAGAAGGAGTGATGATGCCCCCAAACTCCTGTTGCTGCCTGCCTGCTGCTACTTTCTGTTACCTCCTGCTGCTCTTTAGCTACGCATTTTGTTTGTTGTTTGTATCGCCCCAATGCCTAACCCTTAAGTGCATCTTTTTATGGTAATTTTCAAGTGCAATTCCCATTCTCTCCCACCGACTCTGTCTGTCTGTTGCTTCCTTCTTTTGCTCCCACCTCACATGAGGCTCTGGAAGAGGCCACCACTCTACCCTTTTGGGCTCCTCCTCTGGCAATAATTAATGTTCGAAAATGCATCGTTTATGCGGCATAATGCATTCGTTGCATCCATTTCTGTGTGTCGTCTCAAAAGCCTCTTTGGAGTCGCGTGCAACAGCACTTGCTGCTTGGCCAGCTCCTCGAGAGGATGCACTCAACTTGTGGCACATGTTGCCTCTGCCCCATTGTCGAAGGGTTGTTGTTGCTTCTTTGGCTTGGATGCCGCTTGCTTGCTGCCTTTTTGGGGGTTACACCGCCGCAAGGGTTCTCTGCCAGCAGCATCAGCCACTGAGCTGTAATTAAATTTTTCGCTTTCATAATTTTAAGCAATTTCTGGCTCTGATTTCTGGATTTCCAAGGGCGTGAATTATATTTTAATTGGGATTCAGGCGATTCCTGCCATAAGGAATGGATTATGCTGCCTCCCCCAGAGTGCCACAAATTACTTCAATTCTTTTAGAAATTTCTTGTCCGAAAAGCTTAAGGAATTTGCATGATAATCCTCCCCGAAGTGAACAAATAGCACCCGAAAAATCAGTAAAAGTTAAGAATTGGAGGAATATTGGATGCATTCAAGGGATACATAATTATAGATGTGTTCCACCACACACGAGTCAACCCGAAATCATGCAGCGCCGCAGGGGCATACAAATCACTCACACATGCAGCAAACGCGAAAGGAAAAGGCAAAAGAGGCAGCACCAGAGAGGGGGTACGAGAGCAGGAAAGAAATAAAATATAGTAAAGGCATAAAAGGAAAACAGCACAGAAAAACAATCACAATTCACAATTCTGTCGGGTGTCGAAGTGCTTCGGGCACGCGACCAGCGACCAACGCTCATTTGTTGTTGCGCCTGCTAATGTCCTTGCCGCTCCGTGGCACAGGAACAGGCACAGGCACATACAGGATCCGACCCTGCCTCATACAGCGGCATGTGCGGCATGGAAATCACAATGCAACGAATCAAGCAACCAACCAACCACCACCCGAATCTCAGGTCCAGGCAATGGAAAGCAGCAATCGAAGCTGAAAATTCAGCCAGGTGCATTTTCAAACACCAAAAACCCAACAGAACGCACGAGCCACCACATACGAGTGCGCGTATCAGCAGCAGCATAACCACCAATCGAAGGGTGCATAGACACAGTGAGGCATGACTATGAGCGATAGGAGGGTTGAGAATTACTAAAATAAAGATTGCATCCATGGAATTTCGACATTTGAGATATTTGAATTCAATACAAAGATGTTTTCCGACTACTTCCCTTTAAGAAATTATCCCAAAAATAAGAATTATCCCACTAAATCCCAATCCGAGAATTGTTTTACTCTTCAAATTATTGTTTGCTTCCAAAATGTTTTTAGTTTCCTCTGATTTCCCATAGAATGTTTCTCCACTGTAGCTAGTTACCACTGTATCTAGTGGCCATAAAGCAGAGCTCAAGCGTAGCGCGATTTCTAGCCTGCACCGCGTTCGGTTCGCCCGTTCGGGCATTCAGCGTTCTGAGTTCTGAGGTCTCTAAGGCTGTTGCTGATTTCAATAGGGGGTTTTTTTTTAAATAAAATACTCGCGCGTCACTCTACTTTACTGCTTAGGGGTGGCACTGCACCACCACACTGCCGCTGCAGGAGGAGAACTCCGCACGGTTCTAAGCCTCGTACTCGCATATCCGCCGCATGTCAGTCACAGTGCATTGAATGTCCATAGGGAGGGTTCGGAGCCAGGAGCAGGAGCACGAGCAGGAGCAGGAGCCAAAGCCAGAGCCAGAACCAGAACCCAAGCCCGAGGACTTGGGAGGGGGTCGCATATAAAATATTACATTTTTACCCCCTTATCTGACGGACTATGCGATATATAAAATTCCAATTGGACGCGTTCACCGCAAAAAAGCGAGGCCAGAAAGCAAAAAAGGGGCGAGAATATTCTCCCTTCGTTTGCCAAGATCCTGTGCACAGGATTCCCCTTCAATGCCGCGGCTGCCGCTACTGCTGCTGTGTGAAAATTGCACGACTTGCGCTTCTGCTTTTGACAATGGGCCTCACAGAGCATTAACTAGTTTCCGTTGCAATTCCGATTTCAGGGATTCTACCCGTCGCCGCTTAATGAGGAACTTCATTACAAAAGCAACCCCATTCGACGGAGCTCTACCAATGCACCCTGCCACCGTCTTCTCTGTATAGCGCCGTTTCCTGTTTGGTTTGTTTCAATTAAATCGCATGTGCGACCCACGGAACACAGGACACATTGCTGGGCCGGGCAGACGGCTATGGCTCATCTGTTACTTAATCATGGCATTGCCATGGATACCTTTTGCAGCGAGGGTGTCCCTTTCCCTGTCCGCGTTTTGTCCGTTCTGCCCCACGCGACCTTTGAGCAGGCACTGATATTTATTGCCATTCAATGGCACAGATGGGACTTGTATTTGCGCTGGTATTTCTTCAACACTCACACATCAAAGCAAATTAAAGATTGATATTTGGGTATACGAGATAATATTTGGGTTAAGTGAATATTAGTAAAGGAATATAAAAATATATAATACACGGACTTCAAAAGTTGAATGCTTATTTAGGGATTCAGACTGGAATCTACAACATTTAGTAGTACGAAGATTGTCCCAAGTAATCGGTATAATCGTAGCTGGGATAATTGTTGCCCCCCAAAGTGGCATTGCTCCAGCCAAACTGATAACGTATAAGGGCATCCACATCCTGCACAGCCACGCCTCGTGCCTGCAGCTTCTGGATAAACAATTTTCCCTGCGGAGAGCCAATCACACGCTCGTAGGCAGGCAGCACGGCCACCAGACGGCGCCAGAGCTCCGTCAGAGCGGGACTCGACTGAGTGGCACTTGGCTCCAGCAGCGAGCGGATGAGCTCCAGCGGATAAATCTGGTAGAAATCCAACTCAAAGCCGCGGATACCATTTACCAACTGCGATGCGTGGGGATACTTGTTGAGCACTTTAATCTCCAGTTCGAGGTCTTCGAATATCTTCAGAGAACTGCCCGACAAAATCAGTTGCTGGGAGAGCCATTGCAGCAGTTGCCTCACTTCGGGTTGCACCAGCAATTGTCGACTCAAACGATAGGCCTGCAGGGAATTGATGTCCCGGATGACAGCCTGGAACTCCTCATCGTTGAGCAGATACGCCTGTACGAGTTTCTCGATCTGCTTGCCGGGTATCTGCCGGAAGATGCTCCTCAGCTCGAGGGCCAAAGTGCTGGGTGGTGCCGCGGGTCTAGGAGCAGCAGCGGCAGGTCGAATGGGAGCCAATTGTGCGGCAAAGGTGCCAGCCACCAGGCAGCAGAGTCCTACGAATGTCCAAGCCGTGAACTGCATTCTGATGTATCTATTTTCTGTGACTAGATGGATGCTGTTCTGCCCGGCCGCTTTTATAGCCAGATATCTGGCCCGCGCTTATCTGCCCCGCTGCTTTCTGTGGAAGCCTCTTATCAGACACTCTCAAGTAAACAGTAAACATCCGACGCTTTACATAGTGAGACGTGGTAATAGAAAAAAGGTAGTGTGTCAAGATAAAGGTAGGTCTATTTATGACCCTTAGTCATGATTGCTCACTGCTAAATATGGATTTAGCGGGTGGTCAGGGAAGGAGTTCAAGACAGCAGCAGAAACCCCACTCAAAATACACATACACATACGACTATCGAAGTGAAAACATTTCACAGATAATAAATCAAAGAAAAACTCACCAGAAATTGCAATTAGTGCAAGTGCACTTTGACGAGTGGTTTTCCTGGGAAATTCTACATGCAACATGGACAGCATTCTGGTCTAATTTTGTTTTCCATTCGAACAATTGCATTTTCCGGGTAATTCTCACGGAATTCGGGTAGACATGATGCATGGAAATGACAGTTATCCCCCCACTAAAGTTCTCAATTCGAACAAGTGCCTGAGCTCCTGCGATTCCTGGGAGAAAGTGCATTAATAGCAATCATTAGAACCGGCAGATGTCTGTTGTAAATTAGTTACTCTGTACCTTTCACTCGATCGCATATTCGTTCCACCGACATTAGTTCCAGTCGAAGAGACTTCTCCTTGTTCGCTTTTGGTGCATGGCATGCCCATGGACACACGCAGATGCGGACACAGGACATAATTAGGATAGACCTCCGCCTCCCGCTGCTGTGGCTGCTGCTGCTGCTGCAAAACAAAGGAAACAAACAAATATTTCAATTGAGCACGAAACCGATAAGATTTGCTATATAATTTCTAAATTTTCGAAACTAAACTACAGAAAGAGTCTGGAAAATTGGAACTTTAGGCAGGGATGCAGGGAATGCAGAGGGGATGCAGCCACCCCATTAAAAAGGGAGTAGAATGAGGAGGTGAAGGGAGGGCACAAATGTTGATTTTTGGGTTTGGACCAGAGACCAGAGACCCAGGGGTTGTTTGTTAGCTTCGATTGGGTTTTAGGGCAAAAGTATAAGCATTCTGTGTCGATCGACAGGGGGGGAGGGCGGTGCAAAGGGAGGTTGGGTTGGGTTGCAGCTGCCGCACTCTCACACACTGGCAGACACTGGCAGACAGGGCAAAGGACAGCATGCCAAACCCGCTTTCGGTGCTTCAGGGATAAATCATGTGTAAAGGTATTTTGATTTTTGTGATTTGTATGCGGCACATTCGCACAGAGCACTCGTCGCGGCAGCTGCAGGACTGCATCAGCATTCCAATTGCCATGCCACCGCTGCTGCTGGCTGGCTGGAAAACCCCCTCCTTGCAACAGAATGTTGCCATGCAACTGCCACACACACTCGCACAAACAACAACAAGCGGCAGCTTGGGGCACGAGAAAATACTGCGAGTATTATTTCTTTTTCGTTTTTTAATTGATTTGGCACAGGCTTCAATTTAACGCTTGGCTGCCACTTCCTCTCCTTTTTTGCATACGAATGTCCTGCACGTGTCCTTCGTTCTGTTGGGGTTTCTGTTTTTAAGTTTTCCACTACTATAATTTTCAATAATTTTTGTACGTGCACTTCCTGCCTTATGACATGCCAATGAGTCAGAGAATTGTGGAAACGGAACCCATCCTCCCAGCTACAGGTATGTCCGGAGCCCTAGCCGTTCCCCTTTTCTGTGGCACGCGTCAGAGACACAAAGGAGAGGGAACCCTCGCGAGACAAAGGCGACGAAGGCGAGAACCTCAAACCCAAAGAACAAGGTACAAGGCAGAACAGAACAGAAACCCTCGCCACCGCCAAGAAGTCAGTGCATTATTAGGGGTTGCTTGGTTGATAGTTTCCTTGAGGGTTGTGAGTGGCATTCCTTGAAAGAAGCAGCGCGGCAGGCATTCCTTTGCCGGAAGGAAGGAAAGCAAAGCAACACGTTCAAGACATTGTTGAGTCATCCATCCAACCATCCATCCATTTCTTCCCCCCTCCTTGTGTGCTGGCATTTACATGCCTCGCAGGACCCTCGGCGGAGGCGCCTTGTCCTTTTAGGGAACCCTCCATTCATTCATTCATTCATTCATTCGTCACTTAATTGAGTTTGCGTCAGGAAGGGGAAAGAAAACCAGAAAATGAGACCATAAAAGAGGCAATTCCTTTGGCAGCAAAAGCGGTGCCAATTGTAGGTTTCACTTTAGGATACAAATTGAAACGCCCTGCCCCTCCCTTCACGACTTCTTACCCTCCTCATCCGTTGCCGTCTTCGTCTTAGGGGAAGCCTCTCTTCATCGAGGGGAGACCTCTTCGTATTCTTTGCCTTTTCTCAGGGGGAAGAAGCCATTAAATTGATTATAAGACATCGCCGTTGAAATGTGTGTAAACTGTTCCAGCCAGACATTATGTCGCCCAGGGAAGTCCTTTCTGTCTCTCCCTGTTTCTCTTTTGGTTTGTTTTTTTTTTTTTGTGGAAGGCGTGGCAGGATTGAGGAGGATTGAGTTGAAGTCGAAGCTGAGGAATGCAACTAATTAGATGGGTGAGGCAGTCAGATGCCCAGGAAGAAGGCAATGAAGCATTTGAGGCGGCATTTAAGGAGGCATTTGAGAATCCAATGAGGCAGCAGTTGAGCAGTTAATGGGGGAAGAACTTCGAGAGGTTAATGGAGAGGAATGAATCAATGTTTTGTCCTTTGAAAAGCAAGAAGAAGGTGTGTCTGACCAGACGGTGGTTAGGTAGATCTTTAAGTGGTGGATGGATGCTTACAAATCCATTCGACTATACAGTGGCGTGGCAAAGAGGAGGGTTTACTATAGAGCTCTTCTTCTTTCTTTTCGCTCTTCTTTTGCGCATTGGAACGAGATCAATTCCAATAAGAACACACATTTAGAGTGCATTCAATATAAGGTGCGGTACTAGAGGGCGAACTCCCACGCACACTCGCTCTTTTTGCTAGACAGTGTGAACGAAAGAGAGAACAGATTTCTAAGATGTACTATGTCGCACCTTACACTTTGTGCCACTTGGAAAGAGAGCAGTAAAGACAAACAGCGCTCGCTCATTCCTTTTTGCTCCTCTGCCGTTGGCATTTCTGCACACACGCGCACACATACTGGCACATTGATGGAGCAGCCAAACGAAAACACTACACACATAACGGAACCGTTGGCATTTTGGCTGGTAGATTTTTTTAAAAGAAAAAGAAGTAGTTTTTTTAAATCTGTATCTGAAATGTATTTTCACTTAATGCAGTGCCACTGCACATTTTAACACATTTTGCTTGCAAGATCAGCCTCTTTTATGCAATTTTTCACATTATAAGCACCCGCACTAGATCACGCCACTTTTTTACTTTGCTCCTCTCATTTCTCATTCCTTTCACACAAGAGCATACACACACACACTGGTAGAAACGCCAAACGAAAACTGGAGATACATAACTAACGGAACCGCTGGCATTTTGGCTGGTGGATTATTTCACATGAAAAAAAAACATAAGCGCATGGTATCCATATCAAATATATATATATAATATATATTTTCACTTAATGCACTGCCACTTCACACTTATCACAACATTTCCTTGCACGATCAGCCAATTTTATGCCATTTTTCACTCGATTCGCACTAAGTCAGCACTGCTAATTTGGGGTTATGTTGTATGTGTTTATTTGAAATCACTACACCGCACTAAAATACTCAACACTGCACATCACTACACTGCTCTGCACTACACACACTTGCGCCATACTTTTCCAGACAGATTTTCACCATTTTCCGACCAGAAACTGCAAAACAACGTGGAGCTGACTTGCGAACAAACACTTGAACTGAAGAGCGGGAGAAGAATGGAAGCTGAGAGAACGTTCGAGATGTGTGCGCGGCTTAGCTCTCTTTTCTCCCACTCTCTGTTCTGCTACTCTCTCTAAGTGCACTCTAATTGGCATGCATAGAAATCTGCATAGTTCCGGCTCTCTCCACAGCACAAAGTGAGGAGAGCGAACTTTTCTACTCCGCCCTCTCCCCCTGCACAAGATTATGGCGAAGGTTTATGGGCCACTTTTTGGCACATGTGCGAGTGAGAGGGGTATAAAGTGCGGGCGGTCATATTGAATCAAATAAAATGCAATGTAAAATGTAGAATTTAACCGCAGTGCAGGAGAAATCATAAAATACATCGATGGATCATACATAAAATATCTTGTTTCAGTCCCGATGTGTTTACAAAAGGCACTCCCTACTTCCTGCTCCCTACAGCCAACATCCTACTCCCCTAAATTCATGGAAAAGTCAGCAGCTGCTGTCTGGCCGAACCTTTATCGCAACGGCGGCACTGATAGCAGTTCCACCCAGAAATCTGTCTGACAGCGGGGAACAAGAGCCAGGAGCCTGTTCACGGCCTGTTGGCCAGGCGGCACTGCACACGTGTGTGTTGCCACAACCTCATTTACATGGAACTTAGGAGTGGGTATACGGAATAGGGATAATAGATCTATAGGGAAAAAGCTCCCTTTCGTCTGATATTTGTTTAAATGTAAATGTGGAATTATGTACATATTAACGATGAAAGGAAGGCTAGGCAGGGCGCAGGCGCAGCCAGGAGGTTCAGCGACCGGCGGCACGTTCCATGGTTCTACCCTCTGGATAGCGCTAGATAGCGGTACATAAACAGCTGCCCTGCTTTGCCAAAAAACGAGTTTATCCTTTATCCGAATAGTTAAGGCACTCGCGTGCCGCATGCCTCGAGTGCTGTTCCTGTTCTCCCCGCGTCGCTCATTTCGAGCCGAGTCGAGCCTCATTTCGATGCCTCATAAATAACAATGCAATGATCCCCAGGTATTTTTCATGTGTTTGGCATGTTTCACTCGATTTTCCGGTTCTCGATTTTCCTCCCTGCTAATCCAACAAAGGTGAGCAGCAGGAGGAGGGGTTGGACTTGGGGAGGGAGTATGTGGCACGCGGCCCTTTTTGATAAATTGTGCTTTAAAGCGAAGGGGCAGCCGCATTGACAAATGGCCAAAGCAATGGCATCGGACAGGAAAGCCGCCCCCCAAAGGCGGATGCAGGAGAGTTGTTGGAGCCAAAGACAACAATTGTTTTGTCCTTATTGATGGGAATAAATCTTCATCGTGGTTGCTTCTTGGTTTATTTATCACAAAGTGTAGCAATTACATTAAGCTGCTGGCTTTTCCAGGTTATCAGACACCACCTGGGACCAATAGCGCAGCAGCGAATGCATTTCCCTGAAGCCCAGCCGTTGCGGTAACTTGGGCTCGGGCTTGGGGTCGCCAAACACCCTCATCTTGTAGAGAAAGAACTCCAGAAGGTCAAAGGCCACACCATTCGCTGAATGAAGGCTTATTAAAGTCGTGGAACAGCAATTTTGTGGCTTAAAGACGAAAAAAGATTTATCCTGATTGATCTTTTGCAGTTTGCCTGCCTCTCACCGTCGGTTTGAAGTAAATGGTGTCCGCGTAGCGCTTCCATGTGGCAGTTCCAGGCATAAGCCATTGTGGCATGAGTGGCAGGAAACGCTCTTGGTTGAAGCCATCGCGAGATTCGCCAGGAATCACACCCACATGCTTCAGGCACAGACCCATGGCTCTGTCTACAGCTAATGAGGAGATATGCGTGCCTGCCAATGCTGTAAAGGATTGATTCCTATCCTCCAAAGCGCTGAACGAGAGTAGCTTGGGATCACACATATTACTGCCATTAAAAGCAAATAAATTCAAGCGACGCATTGCACCGCGACTCAAGACATAGCCCGCTGCCCCATGCATATATCCCGCCCGAAAGTCCGATCTCTGTCGGTGGCCAAATATAAGCGAAGACTCCGGATCATAGCGATAGAGAAAACGTCTCAGGTTCTCCATAATGACATAGCTGAAACTCAGGAAGCTGAATACAAACCACAGAAAGGCCACTCCTCAGTGATAGTCACTCACGTATTTGCATCAGCTTTGAGGAACCAGTCATAACCTTCGAAGTGATTCCTGTAAATGGATCGCAAAGCGACTTGAACTCTGGCAAATGTGCTGTCATTCAATCCTTTCTGTATCTGGCTCCTTATGAATATCAATTTGTTGCACCGCTTGCCCCACGTGGATCTCACTTTGGCCTTCATTCTCGTAATATCCAAAGGATTCGTCAGCACAAGGCACAGCACGCGAGTCTCATTAAAGAGCCAGACCCTGTCTTTGGACCCGGGGATTACCATCCTTGTTATGGATCTCATGTGGCTGTAGTCCCAGTACTCCGTGAGGCGAATGCCCAAGATCAGACCGATCACAAGCCCCAAGGCATTGCGAATCATTGTGGGACAGATTGAATACTGACTGGTTACAGTAGGAGAGGCTTAACACTTAATAGGGGCAACAAATGCATTTACTTACGGATGCACAGCGGCTACAGTGGTTGAGATCTGAAAATGTTTCTTGTCTTATAATACATTTATTTCACAGCTTAATGGATATAGTAATTATAGGAAAATACGGCACTAAAATAAGGTAGGAAAAGATCCTACTTCAACATCAAGTTCTCCTTCATATCCAAAATATTTCTAAAGCCCAGACGTAGCGATTACACAGCGAACACTCTGATGAGATAAAGTAAGGAAATGGCAAATAGTCCACTGTAAAGCAAGATCAAAAGGATAAAATCAAAACCATCCAATGATAATTTCACTTTAGTCTTGTGGTCTGTCCTTCCGATTGCTGCTTATTCTATTTTCGCGTCATCTGCAACAATTCATGCTATTCAAGTCAAAAAACTCTGTCTTAAAACGATGCTCAATCCATGGAGAGCCGTAGGCTATGGTCATTCAACGTTTTCTGGTCATCATTCCCCACCTGTAGAGGAGCTCCCAGATGTTATTTTTGCATCTTAAGAAGCGTGGCAAATTCAATTCGAATCACAGATTTGTTACAGCTTTTGCTCACCAGCACTTGCGCATATAATTTAAACAAATTCTAACTAGGTTTTACGTCTACTTTTGAGTCCGAGTTCTCCCTCTGCATCCACATCTAAAAGCTGTCTGTAATTAAAGAAACTTTAGTGAAACAATTCCACAACAAGGCAAGGATTTTCTCACATAAACATAACTCCTGATGGAACCTTCGTTTATCCCTTTTGCTTATTGGGATTTGTGGTTTTTTCCTTGGACCAGAACTCCAGTTGTCTTTGCAGTTGCTGCTGTGGCAAACGCACGGGCAGTGGGCGCTGGGGCAAGGGCTTGCCAAAGACGCGCAGGCGATACAGCAAGTACTCGTAGATCTCAAACTCAAAGTCTTTGACGTAGTGATAACTGATGGCAGAGGCCGAACAGCAGGTCTCCGTCTGTTAAGGAAAGATAGCTTTAGTATCGAACGATATCTTATGATGGAAATAGCTTATCTTACTGGTTTATAGAACACAATGCTACTCATCCAGCCAGTGGTTGGAAAATGTGGCACCAAATGCTTGGGTGACAGCGGCAAAAACCGTTCTTGTCCCTCCTCATCCCTGGAGTCTCCTGCCACCACACCCACATTCTTCAGGCACTTGCCAATCTGCCGATCCTCAGCCTGCTTATTCTCCGGACAGAAACGAGTGTTGTTCAGAGCAAAGAGATTCAGTCGGCGCAGGGCATCACGACTCAACACATAGCCTGCGCCACCGGACATGTAGCCCTGCTTGAAATCCGTGCGGAATTTGTGGCCAAAGTAAAGAGCAGCCTCGGGATCGTAGGGGTAAAGAAAGTACCTTAGATTCTCCATGATGACAAAGCTGCAAAGGGAAAAGTGTTAAAGAGAGATTAAAACTTGCAACTTTGCAACTCACGTATCATCGTCTGCCTTGAGAAACCAGTCGTAATCCTCTCCATGATGCTTGTACGCGTACTCAAAGCCAGCGCGAACTTTGGCATACAGATTTGTACGATCTTCAGACACACCCACATCGATGGCTCCCAGTTCCTTGTCCTCTTCGCTGCTCAGGAATATCAGCTTATTGCAGCGTGCACCCCATGTGTTCTTCACCTTTGCCGCCTTCCTGCTGTGCCACTGGGGTATGGTCAGCACGAGGCACAGCACCCGCGTTTCATTAAACAGCCACGCGGCAATGTCCGTCTCCGTTAGAGTCTTTGTTTCGCTGTGGATCTGGGGCGTGGCAGGGGCCTGGGTGAGGGTATAGTCGCGGCCATCTGTGAGTCGCAGGTAATCGAAGAGATCCGTCAGTCGAATGCCAATGACCAGGCCCAGCACCAGGCAGAGCACATTGCGATACATTCCGTGTTGGATTCCAGGCAATCACTGCCAGGGAGAGTGTTCGTAAATGTTTTGAACGGCGCAACGAATGCATTTCGTTGCCAGCTGATTGAAGAGGCTCCCACTCTTCTTTCTCTCTTGCTCAAAACGGGTTTAACAAACAGTCGCGGGGATTGTGTTTGGCATTCATAATGAGTCACACAAGTCACAGTCAAAAGAGATGTCGTCAGAAAAGAAATCACCAAAAACTCACATACAAATCACCGATTATGTCTCCTCTCACTTTCTGGAACGCCCGATCATCGGCAAGCCCATCTCCAACGGCCAAACTGGTTTTCGGAGCCAGCACATTCAGGTGTTGACCCATTTTCGGCATAAATTAGCAAATGGCTCGGCTCTCTCGCATGCCTCTTCTCTCTCTCGACACACAAAATCGATCTGTGTAAATGAAATCATTCGGTTTATTTTTATTGCTAGATAATCATTTCATTTCATTTTCATTTGTTTGTTTAGTTTACGTTTTTTTTTTTGTTATAGCAAATCCATGTTACAATTTGTGTTTCCGTGTATCGTTTTTTACTTTTTTGTAGATTTTAGTTTGTAGATTTACTTTAGCTTTAACCTTTTCTTTGTTTTGTTTTTGTTTAGACTAAAATGTGGACTAAATATTTAAGCTTTCGCTTTCATTTTTTCTTAGCTTTGCTTAACTTTGATTTTTGTGTGTGTTCTTTTACACTTTATGTTGCTTTTCTGGCCATTGCTTTTGAGCATTTTCCAGCCCTTTCGTTGACCCTTTTGCTTCAAGGCTCAGAAAATGGTTTACAAAACATTTTGTTATATCGTTATATTAGTTTGTATCGTACTTACAGCTTAGACTTTTATAATCGATTCATTATTTATGTACTTCATTTATATTTCATTATACGTTTAGTAAGTGCACTTGCCAATTTCTGTTTATCCCGCCTCGATATCATATTCAAAATAAACAAAAATTGTACGGCGCTAAACTCAAATACAACAACCAATCAAAGGGATAAACATATGTCCGTAAGCCATAGGTTTTTTTTTGTTAGTACATACTCTTGTTTTTAGTTTTGTTTAGTTACACAGCCTTAGAAACTACTTAAGGGCTAAGTCATACATTAAATCATGGGGACAAACATAATGTTAAAAGGTTCACACAAACAATTACCAAAATATAACACGATAAATGGAACAGAAACGACAAAAATATTGGAATTTAGAGAGTGTACAGTGCGTTTCACAAGCACAAGTCGGTATCTAGTGTGTCAAAAGAAATAGTTGCATATATCATTAAAGGCGGTCACTGATTTAAGGCTTTCTTTGAATTAAGGCAGAAGGTGAAACGATGTTTCATTGTTTAAACTATAAATTCATGATTTTCATTGATTTACAGCTATGAAACGCACTACCACACTTGGCTGGGAAGGACAAAACAAGGACTATATTTAAAAAAAATACAATAAACATTACTTTTTGGAGTATTCCATAAGTTACATAACAAAAATAGGGTTACAAAAATTATACTTTAATATAAGCGAAAATGTTTTACGTCTTTATTACCGATTTATGATCGATCTATCGCTTTATCCTATTCTTTATCGTTTCGTTTATATGTTTGACATTATAATTTCGCTTGCAAAAATATACATACATTATTAATATAGTATAAACATTATTCCGATACATTTTTCAGGTCTTTTGCCACCAATTTTCTTGCTTGGTTGGTATTACTTTTTTGTTTTCTTGTATAAATTGTATTTATAGTTAAATGTATTATAATGTTAGTTGTTTTTTTGTTGTTGTTAATTGTTGATGGTTTTTCTTTTAGCTTGGCTTTAGACTACATCCATTATATTATTAATATTATTGTTTCGCTTATCGCTTTTCCATTTACGATTCTAACATTTGTCCTTGTTTTTTGTGGTATTTTCCTTATGTGTTTTGTGTTTTTTTTTTGTGGTTTTTATCGGTTATTTTTCTCGTATAATTGTAGGAACCTATTTTTTAACTAGCAGAGCGCATAGATGACGCGTATAGTTTCTATAAAAAAAATGCTTTCCTATTATATTGGGCTTACAATTAATTCATATGTGTGCTGTGTGTGTGTGTGTGTTGGTGTGTATGTATAACATAAAAATATATATATTATACATATATCGATTTACATTGGTTATCTGTAAGTCATTTCTGTATGTGTGTTCTATCTTAAGAATAAATTGTTTTGTGTTTCAGAAGTAATGACAATCAAATGGATCCATGAATCATTTATCCATTTGAATGTCAGCACTTGTCTGTTATCAGCACATATATCGATGATGATGATGGTCTGTATATATATTGATTAATAATCATTATATTCTCACTTATCGTCTAGCCGAATGACTATACAAGGCTTTGACAAGTTTTACAAATTGTGTTTCTTCTGTTTTTTAGCTGTTTTCTTTTTTAAACATTGGCACGATATCTATAAATAATATATATGGAGTTATATAGCCTATGAAAATATATATGTAAATGATTGATTAGTGTTTTTGTTTTGTTTTAGTTCTCATTTTCGTTTCCTTTCAATCCCCACAAGCAATTCTCTAAGAAGTTATATAAACCTGTATAGTATGCTATACATATATGCGACCCTAGACCTAAGCAAACTGTGGTGTTCGAATATCATAAAGGCGCAAACACAACGAATCCAAAAATCTGTATTATGTATGTACCCATCTGTCTCGTTGGACGTTTGACTAACTATGAATAACAATTTGTGTAATATATATGGATATAATATATCATATACGCCTGTCCTTAAACGGATTTCTAAGTAAAACTAAACAACATAAAATAATAAATTACAAAATGAACGTGTTTCTGTTGTGGGTTCTATGATCTGGTTGTTGCTCCCAATCGAAAGAGAGTCTTCTGGTTTCTATATATTCTTTTTAAAGCATATTCAAAGCATTCCATATATTGTTGGGCGTCTAAATGCACATGCTGCATGCCACACACGAGTAAAACTGCAGTACAATATATAGTTATTTTGTATACTATTTACAGCACTAAATCTTTTGTCATAAATCGAAGAATTCTAGGGGGGACAGGAGGGGCTATACACTGACTAACGTTAATGGCTAGATTACTTTTTTTGTGCCATGGTTAAATGATTACAGAAAATTGGTAAATTGGGGTGTAGCTAGTTTTTCTTTAGCACTAATTTATAAATGATATTTTTTCTATCGCTGTTCAGTTTTACCGAGTGTTCGTTTCACTTTCGCTACTCTTTGCTACGAATGTTACTGCCTTTTCTCGGTAGTTTTTATACAATAATTTCTTCTGCCACTTTGTACAACGAATTCGTTTCAATGTGTCATCTTAATCACTAATTCCTAAGCTTAGAGCTATGGTTCCTTGCTTCACTCACACTCTTTACATCTCGCACACATGCGCTTTGGACTTTTGGCTTAATTTACCACTTGAATATATGTATATCTTAATCGCTATGTTGTTTGTATAACGTATATGCATCTAAAAACCAAATTCTTTCACTCACTCTCTCGCTCCCTCACTCTCGCTCACTCATTATCGCCTAGCACTTATAGTTATCTGTGTATCTGATATATTTTACAAGTTTTCTTTCACTTATTGGCGTCCGAATTGGATGTTGATCCTCCCACAACGCCTCCCGATGCACCGCCTCCATTTGCCTGCTGTTGATGCGGCTGTGTGGCATGCTGGATGGTATCGGAGCGACGATAGTAGAGTAGATAAGGCACCCGCGGCGTATGCGGCTGCAGCACTTGCTTCTCGCTAATCGGTTTCACCGAACTGTCGTCATAGCGCAACCAATTGTTGTACCCCGTGTGGAACACATCCGTAATGTAGTGCCCCTTCGAGGCCTCCTTTCCGTCATGATAGACCACTGCGAACAAGCGGTAGGCACGCTGCTTCTGGGAGGTTTTCTTCGAGCCAAGTATCTCTACAAGAAAGATGATTAGTACACGGATACAGCATAAAAGACTGACTAGCACTCACTGGCATCGATCTTCAGTTCGGCGGGGAACTCGACTTTCTTTAGGATCTTTGTGCAACCATCGGATCGGTAATCAAAGTACTTTAAATGCAATATCAGTACAACTGGTAGCTTCTCGAGGGTCATTTGCTGCCAGGCCACCACTTCCTGCTTGGTCTTGCTACCCGTAACGCCCTCTAATTGATCACGACCCACTAGGATCTCTAGGGCTTCCTTGACAGAAGCAGCTTTCTGTAACAAAACAGAGTTAAAGGATTAGTACGTCTTTACATGGAGTTCTCCTTCTACTGCACTCACTTCAATGTTCAATTGTAGAGTAAAGAATGGCTGAATCACATCCGTGGAGTGTTCTCCCTCACGCTGCAAACGGGAGCGCAATTCTCCGCGAAAGATGTCGCTGATGGGAGTGCGTCCAAAATCTGTTTGGCGTGTGACACTGCCCTTGTTTCGATTGTTGCAAATCATCTAGGGCGAGAAATTTCAATTAAATTAAATAATTCCCTTTATAAGACATTAACTTACCTGCCAGACCTCGCCACCATCTTCGGGCTCCGGCTGCTCTTGGCCGTTCTGCTGTGGCACGGGCTTGGCAATCAGTTTAATTACCTAAAAAAACAGATAGAGAAACCATTAATTATTGTATTTTAATATATTTTATCAGTGACTTACCTCCAACATCTCATCGTTGAGTTTATTCAAAACATAACCCAAAAACTCTTCGGCATCCTCCTGGCGACCCTCGACATGCTCCTCGCGGCTGTCGTTCCACAGCTTGTAAATATCTGTGGGCTCAAAGGCAATATCGCACTGCAGGTCCGTGCCGGCAAATTCATCTTTGCCCTTGTTCTGGGCCGCCTTGTTGAGAGTGTTCAAACGTAGACGCAGCCCACTGGGCAGCGATGAAAAGTTGGTCATAAAAGACATCCTATTAAAGAAGAAACACAAACATTAAAATACAAACCAAGAGGTAGAGATTTTTGTTGATGTTTGTGTCTGTTTCGACAGAGAATTTCCATTGAAACGGAGAACTCTCCTTGAAAGAACAGCGCACGTGCGCTCGACTCCAACGTTCAGCGATTGCCGTCAGAACGAAGGCAACGCACTGAACGCAAAGCGAAGCCGCGCGACATTTAGTCTGCCACAAACGTAACACAAACGCCAGCAAGGTGCCTTGGTGTCTGTTGACTTGTCTGTGGCACTCGGCTCCCACCAAGTTCCCCTTTCTATCCCAAACTCACATGGCATTCACTGTTGGCGTCTTCACGTCACTCAGGACCGCCGCCTGCTTGGGTATCGATCGCAGCAGATTGTAGAACGGCGAACAGCCCAGCAGCGCTTGGAGTATAGAGTTGATGTAACAATAGTTTGAGCGATTGGTTAGTCCTCGGGGACGCAGGCTGATGGGCGCCAAATTAGTCTTCTGGCGTGTCAGGAAATCTGCATATTTGTTGGTCCACTCATCGAGTTGGGCCGAAGGACGCGCAACAGGCTCTGGTTTCAGAGGTTTGATGGATGCCGAGGGACTGGGCGCTGGCATCGCCTGTGCCGAGGCAGCCGAATAGGAGAGCGTTCCGGGCGTTATCAAAGGTGTGATGGGCGCAGGCACTGGCGCTGGGAGTTGCAGTTGCTGATGAGCGGTTGGGGCTGGCAAAAGGGGCTGAAGTTTTGGCTGTGGCTGCAGTTGTGGTTGCGGCTTCAATTGTGGTTTTGGTGGGGCCTGCAGCTGTGGTTGTGGCTGAGGTTGAGGCTGTGGCTGTGGCTGAGACTGAGGTTGTGTCTGGGGCTGTGGCTGCTGCTGCTGCACCTGTGGCTGCTGCTGAGGTTGAGGCTGTGGTGCTGCAACTACCACAGTGGCTTGCGGCTGAGGTTGAACTGGTAGCTGTGGCTGTGGCGGTGCCAACTGCTGCACAGGCGGTTGAACTGGCAAAGGCGCCGGTGCGGGTGTTGGTTTGTTGGCCTCGTACGGTGCCACCTTGGCCACTGGCTTCTTGTTGGCAAACAGACTCGCCCACGAGGGCTGCGAGCTCTCGGCGCTGTTTTGATTGCTTTGCGAAGCGGGTGGTGCGGGCGGGGCCAGATTCATCTGCGGCTGGGTATTGGCGGAAGTGGAGGAGGATGCAGATGCGGATACCACGGAGCTTAGGGCTGGCTGCTCGTAAACAGTGTGCTGTCGCTTGGCCGCATAGCTGCTGTAGGTCTTGGTGGCGGCCGCTGGCGGTGCAGCATATTGTTGCTGTGTGGCAGGTTGTGTCTGCTGTTGCTGGTGGTAATGTGATTGCTGCTGCTGCTGAGAAGCTGCTGCTGCCGCTGCATTGCTCGTCTCTTGCTGCTGGAAATGGCTTGGCGTTGCTGTTATGCTCGCCGTTGAGGTAGTTGTTGCTGCTGCAGCTACTGTGGCACCTCCCTGCTGACTGTTCTTTCTCTCCAGCAAAGGGGCATTGCTGGCCACTGGCGACGAGGGCACCTTCATCGTGCCATAGGTGCGCACTTGTGGCTGTTGCTGTGGCTGTTGTTGCTGCTGCTGCTGTTGTTGTTGATTGTTGCTGGCACTGCTGCTGCTGTTGTTGTTGCCGCCAGCGTTGCTGCTGCTGTTGCTGCTGGTGCTGCTGTTGTTCGTATAATTATTCTGATAGTGCTGCTGCTGGTAATGCTGCTGATTGGTGTACGTCTTTGTGGAGTGACTGTAGCTGCCGGATTTGTTGAATCCTCCACTGCCTCCTCCTGTGGCTGCTCCTGCTGTAGCTCCTCCTGGTCCATTATTAACATTGTTGGGCGATGCCGTCACCGAAACGGACTGCGTGGACTTCTTGTGCTGCGCAGAGTTTGTCCAGGACATGCTCTTTGTTGTCTGTATTCCCGTCTCGCTGCTGCTGTTACCTCCTGCTCCCTGGTGATGATGATTGTACTCCGACGAGTACTTGCGACGCACCTGATGCTGCTGCGATTGATTGTATTGCTGTGGCGGCTTTCGCACTTGCTGCTGTGGCGCCTGTTGCTGTTGATGCTGTTGCTGATGTTGCTGTTGAGACTGTTGATGTGGCTGATGTTGCACCTCCTGATAGCCGCTCTGTGGCTGCTGCTGATGGTGTTGCTGCTGTTGCTGCTGCTGCTGCTGCTGCTGCTGCTGTTGTTGCTGCTGCTGCTGTGGCACCACCACGGGCGATGTCTGTTGCTGTTGATGATGCTGCGGAGCCGCCTGTTGCTTCTGCATTTGCTGTTGAGGTGCCACTGTTGCCACCACCTGATTGGTAGCCACTTTCGTTGCCTGCTTCTCAATTTGTTGTGGCAACTGTGGCTGCTGCTGCTGTGGAGGTGGATGCGCCGGTTGTTGCTGCTGATACTCCATTTCGATTTGCTGCTGCTTTTCATTGCTCAGAATCTCCTCCAAAGGAACTTCATTATTATTATTCATCAAATTCTTCTCAACAACTGCAAAAGAAATGGTAATAAGAGGAAGATAAACAATCAGTAAAGAGCATTTTCTTTTGCCACATGCCACAAACTAATTTACAATATCCCGCCGCTTCCCATAATTGATGCCAATTGAATGCTAAACGATGCTAAAATAATCTTCAACTTCAGCGAGCAAGTAGAGCAGAGCAGAGCGAAGCACTTGAATGTGGGTTTGATCGAATTCTGTTCCATCATTAAACAGCCGACAGACACATAATGAATTTCTGGATGCTACGATGGCACAGACATTGCTCTTCTTCCAAGCATTTAAAATGTGTGCCGACCCTTAAATTGATTTGTTTTCGTCCACAAAGTTAACAATAAGAGGAAACCATCTTTGGTACAGCAAATGTGTGGCAAATAGTAGTTAAAATCAATATGGATAGAGAGAAAGAACCGTTTGGTTGGTGGATCAACCAGAAAAATGTACAGCAAAGAAGCTATAAGAAGCCATTCCTTAAGCTATAAAAACTATAAGAACAAACTATCTGTAAAGTGTATCCAACAGCTCCAGCCTCCAAAGACCTGCCCCTTTCTCTCTTATTTTCCGCTAATTCTCTAGAAACCCAACAAAGAGAGTTATTGACGTAGCCCACACTCTTTTGTGTTGCTCTGCTGTTGCTGTGTTGGTTTACTGCTCCACAAAGTACTATTTTAAGTGATAAGCAGACCAACCGACTGGCAGTCCAACAGGCCTTCAATTTGTGCCCAACAGATTGCCTGTCGGGTGCCGCTATCAGTGCAAATAGAAAACATAACTAATCCATGTCAAAAACTCGAGTACTGCACGGAGGTTGAGTGTGGCAGTGGGGGGAGAGCACGGAAAATAGACTATTTATTCGTCAATCGACAAGCCGCCAAGCCAAAAATGATTATTAAATCACAATAAAACTCCCCCCGCCCCGACCAACCATTGTATAAGCGAACTTCGGAACTCGATTGCCACTGAGATACGGGAATACGAAAGATAAACTACATTATTCGACATGCGATGTGATAAGAAATGATGGGAAAAGTGAAAAACAAAAACAGAGAGAGGGATGGGGGTGACGAGGAGGAACAAGGTTAAGCCAACAGATGGGTGAGAAAAGGGAGCAACGGGAGATGAGTCAATATTCACATGATCCACATCCCCATGTCATCCTAACAAGCGGTGACAAAACAGAAGCAATCTGTTGTCCCAAGATGGTATGGGGCAACGCCTTTCAGAGTGATGTATCAATAAAATGCAATTGCAGGCTTGGGAAATGGGTCATACAATGGGATACTCTTTTATATACGATTAAAAATATCTCAAATTTTTAGGGAGCTACAATATCTATTGGAAAGCGAATGTACCTGTTATTATTTCTAACACGTAACTTAAAACGTGCTAAAACTAAATTCATATCCAAACATTTATATTTGTGGCAATTCCTTTTGCTCTACAAAAAAGGATTTATTTAGACACAAATTAGCGGAGTACTTCTAACGAAGTGCTTTCGTTCGACAATTGAAAGGAAGGCAGTGCTAAACGCCTACTTACGGAGTGTCCGCCCCATCCATATCCCATCCTCCGCCACACCGCCTCCCCCTACGCTAAACATCATATGACAGCCGGAGAGCAAGCGAAAACCTTACCCCGAGTGTTCCCACAACACGCGGGAGATAGATATCCATGGAATTCAGAATGTGTTAATTAATTTCAATTAGCAATTAACGAGCGACTCTCTCACAGAATTATTAAATACTTCAATAAATATAGCACAAAATCGAAAATAAAAACCAACCACAGGCGGGAGATACATATTTGCATGGAAATATGTGGTGGAGCAGCAGCGGCTGCCGCCATAGATATTAATGCATTACAAATAGTGGAAATAAATATTATATCTAGTATATGAAACAAAAATCTATGCCAGGGTGTTAGCTTTTGGGTTGCAATAGCAACAGCTTTTGATATACGTTACCATAACGATAGACCCGAGAGGGGGGTTCTACAGCTAGTGAGAGCGAGTGAGAAACAGTGGGCTTCGATCCGTGTGCTGTCACAAGGTTGGATGGATAATTACAGACATGAGTGCACAGGTAAATTGCAATAAGTTGACTGCACCAACAATAGCAACAGAAATAACAACAATAGCAGCAACAATAGCAAACAAGGAAATTGTTAGGCACGAAAACACAACACACACACAGCGAGAAAGCAAGAGAATACGAGACTGTACTTAATTTCCATTTGCCATTCAAATGCGTTAGATGAAAATAGAAGAACAAAAGGGAGAAGAATGGAGCGTAGGGTGATGGAACACAATCCATGAGAGTAGGGCAGTTCTCTTACATATCTTTATTGCACTTCGAATTTTAATTAAGAATCGCTCAAAAATAAACCAAAAGAAACCATCAAAAAATATGAATACTGAAATTGACTATAAACGTATTGAAAATTACTATAAATTTACTGACAAAAGTTGACAAAAACACTAGATCATCGATACTAATAAAAGGATAATTGGATAATATTCAAATAAAAAACAAAAACTACAAAATAAATCCAGATAACATTTAAAAATCTTTAAAAATTCCACACGATTCTCCTTTTGCTTTCATTAAAATACAGAAACCTTTATAACAACCCTCGCAAGTATAACAGTGTGTAATGTATAACAGTTTCCTAAAGCTTCATTGAATTTCGTAACAAATTTGGTATCCGCGATCCAATCCAAAATAATCAACAAAAATGGGTCAAATTAGTGTTTCATCTATGGACATACCGAGAATACACCCCTTAAGCCCCATTTTATATCTCACATGAAGCTCCGCGCGATCAATCTAATTGTTGCTGTTATTGAAAGCGCGATTTTATTCAATTTTTATTAGCTAGCAACAGAAGCAGCAGAGGCAAACAGCATCGCCAGCGCCTGAGGGGCACACACACAGGCTCTGCTCTACTCTATTCTCTATGAGTAATTTGAGCTTATTGAGCTTCGATCCCATAGCCCCCATTGGCACAAAGCGAGAGAGATATATGAATATGCAAACACGATATGGGGGCGCTTTTAATTGAGAGAATCAACAGCAAGTGAAAAGTGAACAAACAATCGAGTTTCATGGTTCATTTGGGAATCAAAACAAAAACGCGTTCGTTGACCACAAAACAATTATCACAAGACTTAGAAAATATACATAAAAGCATACATAAATATATAGATATACATATGTAGCGTTGTTCTATATAAATGTATCTCTTAGGCCCATGCACCACCCCCTCTCTCTCTCTCTCTCTGTCACTCTTTATTCGAGTAGATACGAGTACAAATACATGAAATTGTTGATTAGTTGTTAATCAGTCACTGACTGACTCACACCAACACAAAAATAGGGAAATAAAAAAATGAAAGAACCAAACAGGGTAACATCTTCAATGGTCGAAGGTTTGGATACCCTAAATGCCATCAGATCGGTGCTGGTATCATGCAAGAACTTTGAAAATAACCAATGTTATTTCTACGAATACCTTCTAAAGTTTACCCCTTTTCCATGTCTGCAAACATCCCCTTGAAATCACCATACCCAATGCTTAAAGGGGTACAAGAAAAACAAACCAAAGTCCGTCCAAAGTCGGGTTAAGCGTGGAAACAAAGGAATGCACATAGCGGAGCCAAATGCTGAGTTATAGTAAATACAAATGGGAATATGATATGTGTATGCGGTGGAAAAGTGCATGTGAAAGAGCAGTGAACACAGGATGAGAAATGGAAGCGGAATGGGAGTGTTTCGTAAGCGGCCAAGAGAAGGCGTTGTATGCGTAACGATTCGACCGCGCTGCTATTGATTCGAATCATAACCAACATCGGTCTACTATTATGTGGCATTCACAGTACTTTATCCGCACTGTGTTTTCTGTGGCTGCGTTCATGGAAATATGATAGCTAATCTACAAGGCGGGAAAAGCCTGCGCCTGGCAACAGGGGAAACTAAAAGCTAACAGCAGAGACACCCTGTAGCCTGTAGCTACTCTTTGGCGATTGTTTTGTTTCTACCGCAATTCAATTGAATTCATTTGTGTCAATTTATAATAAATAATACCCAAAGAATACAGAGAGAATACAGACTTTCTCTCTCTCTGTCTGTCTGTGTCTCAATAAATGAAATTGCGGGTGCAATTCCGATGCCGATTGCGAGAGTGAACATTGCATAATTCTACAACGGATAAGCGACCTTCGCCTTCGCTTTTGCCGGCATGCAGCAGCACTTCGCTTCATCATCATCATCATCATAGGAGGAATAACAAAAAAGAAAGCAACAAACTGTTAATGTTAATCGGAGCAAATGATATGCCACCGGGGGAAATTATATACGAAAGTGAGAGATGTCATAAAAGGGAGGCAGGACCGGGCAGGGTCAGTGAGTCGCATCGACTGGAAGCTAAGGTAAACTGACATTTGAGCGACAGGGGAAGAGATGTACCAAGGACACACGCGTCTGTTGTAATGTATATCCTTTCTGTATCCTCACCTCACCCACTTCTGTTGGACTGACTCCCACATCATTAACATATAAATGCGTACAGCGTGGAGCATGGAGCGTGGCTCCATTCAGCCATGGGCTAGATACAAATGCCTCTGACAGATACAGAGGCCAGGCTCGAGCGGCTCTAGTGAGTTGCATACTAAGCAAAGCCAGCAACAAGTTGAGCGCGGGCGATTGACTACGGAACGTCAGAGAGCAAGGTAAAACATGTCACAGCAGCCACAAACTGCGTCATATTATCTACTACTACTATGTATATTCGTGTTTCTATGCGATGTAGCCTGTACCTGTGCACATGTGTATCTATGTATCTATGTGTACGACATCCCAAATGAACAAGAGAGTAAAAGCGACAAAAAGAAAACGCTGAATAGCGTAAAAAATCAAACAAAGCACATTGACTGCACCCAACGCGTCGTATGCGCAATTTTCATTTTCATTAACAAAGAAAATGCCCCCCTAGCACCTTCGCCTGAGAGGTGGAGGAAGCACAGTGACAAGAGGGAGCTCTGGTGTGGGGGCCGTGGCTTTTATTGAACTGCCCAGAGTCATCGTCATGGCCGTCGCTTGGTTCATTCAACCTTTTTTTTCTGGAATAAAGAAAATAACACAAGATGTGGCAAGAGCATTAAGCTGCTTCCCGCTCTCTCTCTCTCTCTCTCTCTCTCTGTCTTTTGCTTTCTCTTTGAGAGACCTTCTGCCTCAAGGATTGTCATGGATGGTTGTACTACCATCATTCATTCCGAACATCTGTGATATATTGTAGGGCCTCATCTCTTACCCCCTCTGCTGTTTGCTCCTCCTTTCTGACTCTAGAATGTTCTTTCGTTCTATCTGTGGGTTTTGGCCCCATTCCCACAGTGTTGGAATTCACCCAGTATTCTTGTCAAATGGTGCAACTAATTTAAAGACACCTGCTGCCGCTTGTGGGGCGTGTCTTCTGAATGCCTCAGCCCCCACTTTACCATCCGATGACATGGGTCAAGCTCTGCCGCGTGCCACGTGTAGCACTGATTAAGCCGTGTCCTGGCTTGTACTGCGATTTTCATTTTATGCTCCATGCATTTATAATTTAATCCTATACGGCCAGGAGGCACACGCGCTGTTTCTGTGGCTGCCGCTGCTGTGGCATTACAGTTTTGCTCTGCTCCTGCCGTATTATATTTCCCTTTGAGCGGATTTTATGCACGCGCCTTTCACTAAATAGCAATTTCCTTTTCACAGCAAAAAAAATTATATTCAAGGAAAATGTGGAGGCGTTGGCCGTTTGAGCTCTTCTAATGCGCTAATCATAGAGGAAGCCTGCAAATCAACTTATGGCACTAAAAGGGAGGCACGTCAGAAAAAAGCCAGCACAGAGAGCAGAGGGAATCAAAGGCAATTGGCAGGAAGAGGCATAGCGCCCTCTGGCGTTGACCCATAATATCGAGTGCATGCATGCACGTGTGTGTGTGTGTGGCGTGTGTGTGCCCCCAAGAGTGTATCTGTGTATGTTTGTGACATGGAATTTTTATGAATGACATTGACCGAGCAACAACCACCCAAAGTAAGTACGACTAATAGACCGAGCGACAGTACACTTCTTAAGTCACCCCTTGAGAGAGAACACTCCTCTCCCCCACTCTCTCTCGCTCTGTCTCTCCCTAACTTGGTTAGCAAGAGAGCGGCACAGCGCCATTCCGCCTCAAGAGTCTCTTAAGAACAAAAAAAGGCCAATACAAAAGTGGTCTACGTCTACGACCATAGCACATGGCACCACAACAAAAAACCCCCAGCAACAACTACAACAACAAGACTGTTATAAACCAGAAACCAAAGCAAAGCACATTTTTGTACGATTTTTATGGCCTGGCAACAAATGCGAGACGCAGAAAAAGTAAAGGGCTGAAATATTGTGATACTTGAGGAGGGTAAAACCGGCGGCGTCGGAGCCGGCGGAGGGGTCTTATCTCGGTGTCCGTGTCGAATGCATTTTATAGGTGGAAATGCGTTAAGATAATGTACTTATTATACAATCTTCGCACTCGAATGGTAGTTTTGTCGGCGCCTAAAAGGCGGCATACGAAAAACCGATTCACACACACACACAAATGCGTAGGATTGAAAAGTAAAAGTCTTTTTGGGGGAGGAGTGGGGTGTTAGTTGGTCGGACAGAAAGGTTAACCTTTAACCTAAATCGCAACTAAAGAGCGCAACAGTTTTGTAGCGTGCTCTTTGCTTCAGGGCATACGCTGTATATTGAGAAACTGTTATACGGTCGCTTGGTCGCCATGTGGCGCGCCAGCGGCTACCGGTTTTTTCAGGCTTTCCCTCGGCAACAGAAACAACAAATTCCGAAAATACCACCCCTTTCGAGGCTGGGTACGTAGGGGTTGTTTGCCCAAATCTCTGTACGAGAATTCCTCATCGGTTCTGCTCTGCTCGACTCTCTGCTGTTCAATCAGCTGTTCAGGCGTATGAGAATCAAAAGCAACGGCAACCCCTGCAAAGCCAAAGGCACATCATCAGAATATACCTGCAAAGCCAAAGAGAGCCACAAACAAGCATTCACCTGAGAGAGAACGAGAGAGGAGCTTCCGCCACATGGCTGCTCGCTGGCAAGAATGGAGCTTGCGCTCTGTGAGCTTGAACTTCAAATGCATTCCAACGCAGAGAGACAGAACGAGAGAGAGGCATTCACAGGCATTTCGCATTTGTATTTTTTTTTGCTTTTGCAGTTTTACGTTTTTCAAATTGTCTTTGTTGCTATTGCCGCTGCTGCTACTATGTGTGCTTTGTATATCGTATAACAGTGGCAGTGGCACTGTCACTGCTGCTGCTGCCTCTTGGCTTTTGGTTACGACGAATTTTCATTCCGCAGCGAACGGCGCAGCAGTCAAGAACAGAACGTGGAACATTGACGGAGCGAACGAGACGCGGACCTACGTGTGTTCTGTGTTCCTTATTATTTTCGTTGGCATCTCTCTATATATCTCCACCACCTCCTACCGCCCCCCATCCGTCGCCCGACACTGCTGTTCAAGCGGGCAGCACAGAGAAAAAGTCAAAATTATTTGAATTAAAAATTACAACAAGAATCAAACAACAACAGCTGCGGGTTTGGGTCGGAAAATGCAAATGCAGCTGAAAGTGTCCGGACGCGTGTTGACGATGAGAACCACGTAAGCTCGGCGTGAGTGTCTCCCCTCCCCAGTGCACAGTGCCGTGTGTGGTGTGGTTCTACCGTGCTTCACCGCCGCTCTGCCGTTTATCGATCAGAACGCTTTTTCAGCGGCCACTTCATCCGTTATATCCGTTGGGCGGAGGACGTTTTTTAAACCGAAATTCAATGCTCAACAAAACTCAAACACACCAATAAATTATACAATTGCAGTGTCAGTGGCAGTGACTATTACGACGTACAGCGCTACGTACCTATCATCAAGAGTACCGTACCGTGCACGTACAGCACCCCCGAAAAACCAGCAGTGCCGAAAAAGCACATGAACTAGAAGCAGAAGCTGAATCTGAAACATAAGCAAATGCAAAGGCAACGACTGGCAAAGAAATAACAAAAACTAAAAGCAAAGACAGAAGGAAACAGCAGAAAGCAAAGAACATAAAAAAGTGCAAAGTCAGGGAAATCTCGAGGAGGAGGAAGCTGAAGCTTCTATCAAAACAAAACATTCTGCCGTGACCTCAGCGATACAGCTGCAAGTGCAACGGTAAAAACAAAAAGTAAAGCAAACAACAAGAAATAGCAGCAAAAGCACAGAACAAAACGTGACAAATTGCAAATACAAATAAATAGCACAAAAATTCTCATCAATGAATATTCGAAACAATTTAAAAACCTTTTAAATATTCCGATTCTCAATAGAAGCACAGGCACAAAGAGTAACTTGACATAGTTTTTAAAAAGTTAAAAGTATTAACTAAATTTGTAGTGTAAAGCTCAAAGTGCACACTCAAGCGACGAGAGCCGCAATAGCCAGCAGCAGAGACCTTATAGATATTTTGAATATATGCACATACGGCCTACGCCTATCTATCACTAATAAAGAAATAAATTTATTTATCAAAAGTAAATGAAAGCAAAAACAAAACTCAATAACAATTGACAAAAACAACAGCCAGCAAGCTCACACACACACACAAATAACGGCGCATGCAGTCGCAGTAAGACAGAGAGAGTGAGAGTAAAAGCAAATATTAGAAGAGACTAAGTCCAAAAGCTTGGGAGAGAGTCAGAGAACACAGTGGCAAATGCTGCTTGCCGTTCTGAGGGGGTGAGCCAGAGCCAGAGAGCGACAGAACGATACGATAGCGTAGCGTGAGAGACTGAGAGCAACAGCAGCAGACAAGATAAAAACACAGTCAACGTTGGCAACGGAATTCTCGACATCGTCGCCATCGACATCGGCATCGCAGTCGAAAACGAAAGCGGGAACGGGAACAGACGAGGCGCGGGCGCACACACTTCTTCCTCCTCGCGTGTTGCTTCGCCCAACCATTCTCTCTCCTTGCACTTGCACTCTTTCCTTTAACTCCGCCGCGTGTTCGTGTGCATTAACGGAATAAACGCATCATCACAAGTACCGCTGCATTATGGTGGATACCAATGGCGGAAGTAATACCGCTGTGTCGGGGAACTCTGCTGCACGCCTGCGCAAGTTCGATAGGACGGACAGTGAACTGGCCTGCGAGGAGGCGGCACACTTGACCGCAGAACAGAACGACACTCCAGAGGACGAGAACGATGAGGAGAACGAGGATGAGGATGATGAGAGCGAGTATGGAGAATTGCCGCCACCGCCGGACGGTGGCTATGGCTGGGTCATCTGCTTTGCCAGCTTCATGTGCAACATGATTGTCGACGGCATTGCCTACACTTTCGGCATCTTTCTGGAGGAGTTTGTGGCCTACTTTCACGAGGGCAAAGGCACCGTCGCCTGGGTGGGCAGTCTCCTGTCCGGAGTGTACCTCAGTGCTGGACCCATCGTCTCGGCGCTGGCCAACAAATATGGCTGTAGAGCGGTGTGCATCGCTGGGAGCATCATTGCCTGCATCGCCTTCGTTTTGAGCACTTTCAGCAATTCGGTGAGCATGCTGATGGCCACCTATGGATTCCTGGGAGGATTCGGCTTTGGCATGATCTACCTGCCAGCGGTGGTGGCCGTGGGCTACTACTTCGAAACGAAGCGTTCGCTGGCCACGGGCATTGCGGTGTGTGGCTCGGGCTTTGGCACCTTTGCGTTTGCCCCGCTGGCCACGTACTTGCTGGAGGAGTATGGATGGAAGAATGCAATTCTCATCTTTGCCGGCCTTATTCTCAATTGTGCCATCTTTGGCGCCATGATGCGACCCCTCACATACCCTAAAAAGAAGAAGGTTAAGCCCCTGATGCAGCGCATGTACGAGGAGAAGCAGCTGCAGCTGGAGCGTGGCTCCTTTGCTGGTTCACATTTCATGGTCCAGCTGCCGGATGGCACCATGGAGCGGAAACTTAAGATGCCCCTCAACGCGGACCCTGGCGTTCATTCGAGTCTCAATCTGGAGCTGCTGGCCCAACAGGCGGGAGGCCTGCATCCCGTGTCTACGCTCCCAACAATCACCGAGTCCAAGGTGGTGGATGTGCATCGCAATGGAGGTGGAACTCAGTCCCCGCCCAATGCCGACAGCAATGGCCAACTCTCTGCCGGAGGACGGGGCGGACGTCGTCCGCATCGCAGCTCGGAATCTGATCACAGTCCGTACCATTCGCAGGATGGCGGATCCATGACCAGGAACGCCTCACAGCCCGCCTTCCTGGCCAGCGACCATCACGGTCTGCCCAAAAATGGTTCCGTGCCTTCGTTCAATCGCGTGCGCAAGACCTCGGCTTCGGAACGTTTTCAACCATCGCTGGCGGCCATCAGAGCCACGTCCCGCAACGATCTGGAGGCAGGCGGTGGAGGAGATTTTGCCACCTCTAAGATGTCGCTCTCCCAGCGGCAGGGCAGCAGTGGTAGCGGCAAAATGGTGCGACCCATGTCCCGAAAGGACATCTTCTACTCGGGCTCCGTCACAAATCTGCCCCAGTATCAGTCACAGAAATCCCTGGCTGGCTATCGAAACTCTGTGCTATCCCTCACGAAGTACGAGAAGAGCATGCAAAGTGTCCAGAAGTTGGATCCCCTGCAAGACGCCGAAAAGCATCGCGAGGAGTACGACCTGTGCCCATGCCTGGGCATTCCCGATTCGGTTAAATCTGTGGTCAACACCATGTTGGATGTGAGTCTGCTCAAGGATCCCGTCTTCATGCTGATTGGAGTGTCGAATATCTTTGGCATGGCTGGACTATATGTGCCCTTTGTGTATCTGGTGGATGCGGCCAAGGAGCACAACATACCCAAGGGAGATGCCGCCATGCTGCTGTCCATCATCGGCATCACTAACACTGTGGGTCGCGTATTCTGCGGCTGGGTGGCAGATCTGCCGCAAGTCAACTCTCTGCTACTGAACAATTGCTGCCTGCTGGTGTCGACCATCGCCGTGACCCTCACTCCGCTGTGCTACAGCTACTCGGCGTACATCACGATGTCGATATTCTTTGGCTTGGCTATCTCTGGCTACATCTCGCTAACGTCAATTATCCTGGTCGATCTGCTCGGCCTGGACAAGCTTACCAATGCCTTTGGATTGCTCATCCTGTTCAGAGGATTCGCCGCCCTGATTGGTACACCTCTAGCTGGGGCCATCTACGATATAACGCACACATACGATCTGCCCTTCTACATGGCAGGCGCTCTGTTTGGCATCTCGACGATCACCAGCTTCTTGGCCCCCTGTCTGAAGCGCTGCAGTCCCTCGGATGAGACGCCCGTCCACGTGGAGACTCTAACGCCCATTGATGAGGAGCAGGATGAAGAAGCGGAGGATGACGAGGATCAACCTATCACCATAGTGCCCAAGATCATTAAAACGCTGGCCAGTCCACAGCAGGAGGAGCCGCCACAGCCGATGTTCCCGCAACAACAGAAGAAGGCAGCAGAAGCAACGACATCGGAATCAAAGCTTTAAGTATTCGAAAGGGCAGCTCAAGGGGAGATGTGGCGCACAGCAAAGAGATGAATTTACATAGGAAAGAGAGGGGGAAAACACCAGGGAACGATTGAAAGATCCAGCCAGATATTTTTCTATAACTTATATAAACAGAAAGCGGGTCGAGAGTATTGTAGAGAGAGAGAAAGAGTGGGGAAAACACACAAATCACACCACACACAAAAGTAAAACCTATATACAAGGATCATAAATATATATATAAAATATATATACAATATAAAGCCCCAGCAGCAGCAGCAGAAACTATTACTAACAGCAGCAGCAGCATATAGGAGGATTGCTTTATGCTGGAATTTCTACAAGAAACTTGGCTTTAGCTTTCTGATAAGATTCCGGGCGAAGGGGAAGAAACCTTATGCTTTTATGGCTACTAATAAAATATAATATTAAAAGCTCATAAATCACCAACAAAAAAAAGCAAAGAACGAAAAAGCAACCAACCCTAGGGTAAACTGATGTACTAATGATATCGATTATAGTTTTGCAACTGTTATACAGCAACAAAAACACACAAAATATTTGTATAAAATAATTTCTATTATTTGTTTTGTTATATTAAAAAAAACCTTTACGATTACTATTACTACTATTAAAGATTTATGATTATTGTGTAATAATTATAGGAATTATAGTTGTTGTTACGAGAAAAAAAACTGCAAGCTGTTTAAACAAAACATAAATGTGTCATACAAAAGTAGCGGGAGAAATCTAACGTGTAAACTGTAGCAAAGAGTAGTGCTAGAAATAGTATATCTGTATGTACGTGTCTGTAGAAGCTCTAGATGTAGGGATCCGAAGCGGGTGGCCCGAAGAAAACTTAAAGAAAGAAGAGTCGACGGCGGCGGCAACAACTATTAAAAACTAATAAATTTTGTATTTTTTAAGAAACAAAAAATGCTACAAATACTAAAAACACAAAAAAAACCACAGCGGAACTTTAAAAATAAAAAACTAAAATTGTTTTCAATTTTAAAAACTTATTTGTAAAACAAAAATAAATTACAAATTTTATGTCTCATTTTACGAAGCAATTTCAAAAAGTCCACATACCGATAAAGCATAGAGGAAACATCAAAAGAAAGACATCGCAAAGCAAAACGCAAGGAAATGCCAATAAAGAAAAGAAAATTAAATAAAAAGAGTCTTAAATAAAAGTAGAAAATACATTTTTGAAGGCTTGTTGTGCCTTCTGTTATACTGTTATACACCGAGAGAAAAAAAGAGGTCGCAAAAAACGAGAAGAGGAGAGCTGACGAATATATAATGTACGTTGACGTGTAATACATAAATACATACAATATACATTTTTAATAACAACAACAAAATATTCAACTCAAGAAATATTTAGAAATCCAATGAGCAATAAGCGAACGAAATATTGAAATATTAAATCACGCAGCTACCAAGAAATACAAAAAAAACAAAACAAATAATGAAAGAAATGTTCTAAAAAACTGTTATACGCATAAGAATGGGAGGGCAAACAAAAAGAACAATAAGTGTTTGAGCAGATTAAGAGTAAAGAGGAGGAGGATAAATAGTAATAAAGAAAATGCCATACATTTTACCTACAATTTTGAACGATATTTAATATTAAATTTGTCTTTTTCCACTCAAGCGGAAGCCCATGTGGCGTTGCTTTAATCTGATTTAACGAAATGCTGCTCTAAAAGCCATCGATCAAACCAAACAGATAGTGGAAACCAAAACCTCTTTGTTTCAGACTTAAAATGTTGCATTTACCGGCGTAGAGCTCTACCACCTTCGAGGGCTCTTCTGGGGTGTCGTGCGCCACCGCTTACTGGGTGGCGAACATGCCTGTGACATCGTAAACCTTCTCCAGAGCCCCCATTTGATTAGCCTAATCAATAGCCTGGGGAGCTGGCTATAGGTAGAGTTATGTACGAACAGTACTAGAGGTAGAGGCCACACGGCCACAACGATATCGCCTATCAATCGCCTAGCCTGTGGACAAACACTTGGGTGGGTAGCTGCTATCGGGCGCTATTTATACGAATGCCCCGAGAAACCAGACCGGACCAAGTGCTACGAAAACAGCAATAAAAGTGTCACATTCAACGAAAGGGGAGAGAGTGCAGCAACAGCTAGCTGCAGAGACAGTGAGTGAACACCAATCGGTTTGTCAATTCCAGCACTTGAAATGTCTACAAAGATATTACGACTCGTAAAAGTGGTTCGATCGACCCCGCAAGGGCAGAAGATCCCATTTATGGCCTGATTTATGTGCTGCAAAAATGGGAATGAAATGCTTAAAGTGATTAATAATTAGTTTTGATGACAAATCCAAGCGGGAACAAGGGGACAGTAGCTTGAACTCTGCATCAGCTATCGTAGTTTTGATAAGCGTGCAAAACAAACGACAAACATTAAGACGGAAGCCACTTGTGTTGCTGATTATAGAAGGGGTAGAAAATTTTTAAACAACAAATGCAAAGAAAGCAGCGGCTCCCAACTCCACATAAGGGCAGGGGACCAAAAGCCAAAGCCATAACCATAGCCGTAGCCACTGGCCTAGCAACAACCAAATGAACCATGTACTGCTGATGAATATGTTGTTTATTTGTGTGGCTCATGTGTCGAGACAGTGGCTGCTCGGCTCCACTTCACCTGCCCAGAAAACACTTCATCGAACTACCGTAAGCTAAGTAGAGCTGGGGCAGCGTAAAAAGCAAGAGTAAGCAAAAACAAAAAAATAACAAAAAAAGACAAGCTGCATATAAACACGACGCTTCGATAACGAATGCCATGACAAATTCCAAAATACAAATGGAAAATTCAACAACAGAGATATAAAAAGAGATACTTGGACAAGCCGACGCTTGTATATGCTGCACAAAGCAAAGAAATCCTCTCGGCACAAACTGCTCTTTCAGCTCGACATACCCCACAGAAAAGGGCATTAGAATTGTGCATGAACTAACAATTAATGCTTATCACAAAAAGCATCGAACAAATTGAGTTTAGATTATGAACAAGTGATTCGATTCTCCCACTTGGCAGTAATTGAAAATGGGAACAGTTCGAAAAAAATACACAAAGAGCGAAACATTAATGATATACCCCACAAATGCTATCAACAAATGCTTTCCATAATCTATTATTGCAATTTGCAACTATTGTGAGGTGTAGTGAGGAGTGGGACTCACCCAGCTGATCCTGATGCAGCGGCTGCTGCTGTTGCTGCTGCTGCTGTGGCGTCGGTGTGGGGGCTTGTGGTGGCTGTGCCTGAATCATTTGCGGTTGCTGCTGCTGTTCTATGGCCACTGTTGGCGGTTGTTGCCATTCCTGCCCCGCCTGCCACTGTGGAGGTGGCGGCAGCATGGCTGCTGGACCGGCCATTGGTAGCGGAGCTGCCCATTCCACGGGAATGGCACCAGGCGGTCCCACAACGCATTCCGCTAGCTCATCCACGTACTGAAAGCAACAATGGAAAGAAATCAATTAATAAATAGAAAGGGTAATGGAAGGATTCATCACTTACCTGTTGGACTGGACCAGCGCCCGGGTGAATGGTCTGCAGGGAGGCCATCTGACCATCGTCGTAGATCTGCATGACGCCCATTTGATGCTGCATCTCATGGATCGACGCCTCATAGACGGAACAGCTGGGGCTCAGCATGCTGCCCGTTTCCGAGGATGGCAGCGAGAAGTTGTTGTGATTGAGCTCATCGCCGAGACCAGGTGCTCCATTCGGATTCGAGACCTGCTGCTGCTGATGTTGTTGTTGTTGCTGCTGCTGAAGCACGTCGGCATATTCCTCCGCATACATGGGGCCGGGATGCCAGATCTGCGGCATGCCCCCGTCCGGCTGTTGTCCACGCTCATCTACGCCACCCGGCTGGCTGCCATCCTCGGACACGTATGGGTACTCTGGCTGTGGGATGAGATGCTGGTATACGTAGCCTCCCATGCAGTTGTACATGGCGTTAGGATACATGAACGGCATGTAGATCGGGGGGCCGGTAACCTGCTGGGCAGCCGCCGCTGCGCCAGCATTGGGCGGAGCCTGCAGGGCCGCATGCTGCGGCGCAAAATAGGCAGCAGGATATGGCCCATAGGTGTAAGGATGGGGATAGTAGGGCACAGGTTGCATTTGCCCATCGGGCGGCCCGGCAACCAGCTGATGGTCCGGCTGCAGCTGCATGTTGGGCGCCCCAGCGCCGGCGCTGTCCGGCTGCATTTGTTGCTGTGGGGGCAGAGGAATCAGCTGTTGCTGCTGCTGCTGCTGTTGTTGTTGTTGCAGATGACGTGGATGGTAGTCATTGCGTCGCGGGCCACCTCTACCGCCGCGTCCACGTAAACGTCCGCGTCCACCCATGTTAGGATTATGCTGATTGGGACTGACGCCCTGGGTAGCCAAGGTAATCGGCACCTGCTGCAGTTGTTGCATCAATGGATTGCCCTGAGGATCGAAGAAACCCAATTAGTGGGGAGATTCTCTTTTTAGTAATTTTTCACTCACCTGCTGGTCCTGTGGCATGTCGCCGTGGGGCATGTAATGGGCCTGTCCTCCTCCGGGTATGTAGGCGGGAACCGAGTGCGACCAGCTATGTAGATTCACATTGGCAGTGACAGTCTTCACATAGACGTTGCTCGGAATGGGTGCCTGGAGCATGGTCGCAGCATAGTGGCCGCCCACATGCGGATGTCCTCCATGAGCGGGCATGTGCCCCTGGTTGTATATTGGCTGTCCGGCGGGTGTGAATGCCTGCACGGGTGCCGCCATCACGTTATTATTGTTGTTACCAGCGGGTGACACAACACTATTATTATTGTTGTTGTTATTGTTGCTGCTCGGTGGCTGTGGCGTGGATGGATTCGACACTGGTGTGGTGGCAGCAACCGGCGTTGGCTGCGCCTGGGCTGCTCCTGCTGCTGCGGGCGCGGCAGTGCCTGCACCGACCGATGATGGCGGTGGCGCTGCCTGCTGCAGCTGTGTTGTCTGCGCCATTCTTTGGGAACCGAACCGCAAGTTCTTGGCTGACTCCGTTAGTTCTTCTTTTTGGAGGGGTGAAATGATTCTCAAGATTCGCTGCAGGCGTCAAACATTGAAGATTCGTTTGCTGTGTAACGAACGAACGAAAGAGAAAAACACATCAACGAAATTTGCAGGTTTAAGGTTAGGGAGAGTCCCCGCTACCGGAACATTTGCGGCGCCAGCGATCTGGCAACACTGCACAGCTGTCTTGGAGTAATAAAAAAATCAAATAAACAGAGCGAAAGATCGACGGAGAGCAAGAGGCCATGCCAGGCAGGGGGGCAACGGCTCCCCGGACATGATTAAATATGTACCATAATTAAAACAACAATAAAACTACCATGCGGCCGCGGCGGCGATGCAGACTGTTTTTCTATTCAACTTTCATGTCTCACACACACTGCCTTCCCAATTAGAGATGAGCGAACAATTAGTCACGAATATCGGAGGGTGTAACAGGTTCAAAGGGTTATTTTGTTGAAATGTTCCACAAGTGATTTAAGCAAGTGTTTAATTAAAATGCAGCAAGTGCTGCAACTGGGATTGCACTTATTTTTAGTGAAACCCTTTGGCTGGCAAATCACATCTGTCACTGTCGCTCCACGGACTCGCGAGTCGCAGCATTACTCATCTCTGCCAAACACAACACACACACGTGTAGAAACATGAACGAACACGCATAGACACACACACACACACACACAAATGTGGCGCGTATGCCTGTGTAATAAAGGAAATTAGAAAATATCTTCAGTGGCAGAAGAAAGGCGACACTTGCCACCAGATTGAATCCGAGTGTCGAAATTCTAGCTAATTCGAGACGTCTGCTTCTGCAAGCCGCATGCTTTATGTAAATATGCAGCCAGGCAAAAGCCAGGCATTCGCCGCCGATTCAACGTCCAATGGCGACCAAAGAACACGTTGAAGCGAGAAAAAGAGAACGCGCTGAGGTATGCGAGGCGAGGCGAGGCGGCGGCGGCACACTGAAGAAGAGGGCTCGGTCATGGAGGGGGGTGGGTGGAGAAGGGAAATGAGCAGTTTATCGAACGTACCTTTTGTTGAGTCGCCAATTGAAATCAATTTCGTAGCAATTTGATCATATTTTATGCGTGCGGGCGGCCAAATGCGGCAACTGTGGCTGCGGCTGCCACTGAGATGGCCTGGTGGCTGCTTTCGCGGCGGCTCTCGTTCGCTTGCTCGCTCTCTTCTTTTTCTAATGACACGACCACGACGATAATTCCGCAAATTTTTACACGCGTCTACTTCGATGCTCTAATTAACAATTTTGTTTCACCGACGGCCACCACACACGCACATGCACTTTGTATGTGTAAGCACAGTAATTAATTATCAATTGCGATTAAATTTATGTATTTTTTGTGCAACAAACGGAATTATTGTTCTTTATTTGTCGGCAGCAGTGTGACCGCGAATTTATTGAAAAATATGCCGCCTGGCCCGCAGAAGTATACCCAAACATGCCTTTTCATTTGCAAAATATACCGCATATCCCATAACGTTTTCCACGATTTTGATATTCTGCTTAATATTACCGGCAAGGCAGGATTTTTAGCGCTAAAAGTACAAGTTTATCCGATTGATGGATCCATTTTGCATTCAAATGGTTAGTTTTCATGATTGTCTTTTTATTGGATTGTTTCGAAAACAAACGTCCACCAACAAAAAAAAATAGCATAATCCGTTACGTGAGTGGGCATGGTATTTACGTTATTTGACAACTTGTTGCGTGTCAGCCGGTAGTATGCTATGTTATGTGGCATTGGATACTCTATTTTCATAATGCATTAATTTTGTTGAGATAGATCTCCAACACTGATTGATCTTGGATTGGATTTGCATTGATTGGACCCTAAGATTTCAAACAGATACTCAATTGGTGGATATCCCTGGGGAACAGTGCTGCTAACTTTTCAGGAGGAAAAACTAGGGCTGAGCGACAGCCATGATCAAACTTTTCGATGTGTCCGAGCCGATATAACGACTCGATAGATTTTATCCTCCCCAGCCCTGGATTGCAGATGTCCGGCAGCTACGCCAAACATCGATTACAAACCGATTACGGGGCTATCGATGTTTGTAAGAGCTGCCAGCCCGTCTAGACTTCAAATTTAAATTAAAAATTGAAATGTTCTTTGGTTTTGACACACACATTGTTTTTATATTGACTTGATATTAATCTTGCAATGAACAAACAGTATTATAAAATGCAACATTTTTGTTTGTGGGTTACAGGTTACCGTCACAGCTAAATCCATCAATTGCAATGCTTTTCTGTGGGTTCTTTTTCTGGAAAACACACACTTATCGAACAAGAAACGCGTTGTCTTAAAAATTAACATTCAGATATATAAACATATACATATACATATAATTAGGTACAATTGTAATGCAACAACAAGTCGTTAAAGTATTAAACATTCATGTGCCGTCGAGTGAGTGCTTCAACTGTTGGCAGATATTTTTGATTGCTTTTTGTTTTCGTTTTCCATGAAGTGTGTTGCCGCATGTCGTTTGTGTGTTGTGTTTTTGCCTAATCAGTCTTTGCTATAAGCTGATTGTACATTTTAGATGCTGTTCTATGTTGGGGTTCGATGGCAAAACTAACATCCAAATGATTAATAGTAATAATAACTCGCTCGATGCATTCTAACAATGGGAAGACTACGTAGTTTGCATTTTTTGCATGTAATAATAGGAATTCTGCTGCTGCCATTCGATCTACGATTGCTGAAGTGGGAGTGGGAGTGGGAGTGGGAGTGTGTGGGATCACACTTATCTAAATACAATCTATCGACACACACACATACAAATACAAATATACATCAATTTTTGTCTAAAGTAATTGTCGATGGCTGCTGTTTACACATTCCTCTCGGTAGATTCTACATCCTAGGGATCGATCTTGCCCAGCTCTATATCCTCTACGGTTGGAGGTGGCTCCTCCACGTCTATGGAGTTCTCACGCTCTGTAATCTCGGGCATCTTCAGGGAGAAGCTGCTCAGCTTGCGCTCCGCGGAACCCAGGGAACTCTGCGAGTCTGCCTTCAGCAGCGTGGAGCGCCGCTCGTTGATCACTTTGAGGGAATCGTACATCTGATCATCGGCACTGTGCGTACCCTTGGCCAATCCCCGCTCCATGGAACGTGCATGGTATACAGCGTCATCCCGCTCACCAGCCACCGCCCCCTTGGGCCTGTAGAACTGCCGAGAGCTGTTGCTGCGAAACAGTGGGACAGCTGCCATCGCCTTGACCGTCTGTTGGCTCTGATTCTCCGCCTGCTCGCTGCGGGAGAGTGGCAGAAAGTCGGGGCGAGCCTTCTTCGGTGGCAGGCTGCTCGTGTGTTGCTGCACCTCATCGTAGGACCTGTCCTCGGCCTGTTCAAGACTCTCCTCCGGCACGGCGGGCTCCATGCTCGACTGTCCCGACAACTGACGCACAGGCGGCGGTGGCTCCGAGCACACAGATAATTGGCTGCTACAAGAGGGAAAGGGAAATGTGAGAAGAGTATAAATGGATTCGTGTGACTGTGCTCACCGAAAATCCTTATCCACTGATGGCGTGGCCGAGGGCCCAGAGCTGTAGCGCTTGGGTGAGCGCAAAATCGACTTGGGAATCACCTCCGGGCTGTGCAAATCCACTTGCACGCGCCGCGACTCAATGCTGGAGGTGCGACTGGCCATCGATGCACAGCGTGCCGTCCAGCGGCCACTGTACGAGGAGTCCGACATGGTGGAATTGCTGTCAAGGAATACTCCAGTAAGAAATCTGATCAATATCTTTATCTAAATAATATCTACCGCCTGTGGCCTAGGGGACTGCGTCCCTCCTCTTGCTCGATGGGACGCTGTCGGGAGAGGACATGCCGCTTGGCCGTGTCCGAGCGTTTGTTTCGCTCGCTGCGCTTCTCCGCGCTGGAGATGGCGACACTCGCGGCGTGTCCATCAAAGGAGGAGGCCTGCCAGTACACTCGGCCCGCGGCCGGGGGCTGCAGCAGCGAACACTCCCGTGTGGCGCGTTGGATGAGGCTCGAGGAGTTGCTGATGATGCGAGTCGATGAGTTGGAGCTGGCAGCAACGGCAGGGGCAGAAGGGCCTGGCCCTGGCCCTGCCCAAGGTCCACGTCCCTGGCGCACTCTTCTTACGCTGCTGCTTGCCGACGCGGAGCAGGAGGGTTTCGCGTGTTGTCGGTGATGGTGATGGTGATGCGAGTGTCGGTGGTTGTGGCGTCGATGTCGTTTCGTGTGCAGCAGCAGCAACGTGTCCAGCGGCATCGTCATCAGTTGGTGGTGCAGTGAGAGCAAATTGGAGTGATTAGTGGCAGCGTTGGAGGTGTTTTCAAGGAGATTGGCATGATCATGAGCGTGAGCATGAGCGGTGGAGGCAGCGGCATGGATGGTGGACAAATCGGGCACTGATCCAGTGCAGGTGAGGCGACGCAACTGCGGCGAAAAGCGTGTGGATTGGCGACTGCCGTAGGCGATGGGGGCATGATGCAAAGAGAGAGAGAGAGAGAGAGAGAGAGAGAATGAAATGGGAAGAAGGATGGATTAGATTTGCCAATGGTTCCCAGATCTCTGATCAGTTCTCCCTATGAATGGTTTATGGCTTTAGCTCGCTGTCTTTCGACTTGCAATACCTGAGGGACTTGGAGAACTTCACCAGCTCAGCGGTCAGCGCTTCCCTATCGAAGGGCTGCTGCTGCTGATGGTGCGGATGCGTGGCAGCGAGTATGGCTGCCTGTGGCTGCTGATGTGGGTCGCCCGGCGATGAGCGGAACACACCAAAATGCTGATCCCAACGCGTCGACTGGTACTGGGCACCTGTCAGAGCAAACAGAAAATGATAAGAATAAGTTCCCTTGGAGAGTGTCCCAACTGCTTACCCATTCCGCGGCGCTGCGAGGCGGATGATCCCTGATTACTTCGCGTTGGATTCTTGTTGCTGCCTCCTCCACCCGCACGCAGTCGTGCCGGCACCACCTTTGCCGCCGAGTCGCGTGCCTCGAAGGTCATCACGCAGGAGGCCACCACAATGAAGCCACCAAAGCCCATCACAATGGGCCCCACATACGCAAAGTTATTCAGGTGGAAGCCCTTCAGGTCGTTCTTCACGCGCACCGTCACATTGCCACGCAGCTCCGAGCCCATCGACAGGTGATCCGCGTAGTAGCCGAGGGTGGCCATGCCGGCGCCTAGAAGCATCAACGTGAGGCCCAGGATCAGGGCACGACAGGCATGCCACAAGCACTTGGAGGACATTTTGCCCCGAACCACCTGCACATTCCATGTGGCACCAGAGGCGGGATGTGCGCGTCGTAGGTTGCCGAGGGAATGCTTCCGCTTGACTGTGCCGCCGCCGGCGCGACGGGATGGCATTGCAGCGATGCTTCCTTACACCTCACAGTGGCTGCAGTTCATTAACGTTGATTTCTGAAAGAATTGCAAGGGGACATATACAGAAGGAGCAAGGAAAAGATTGCTGCTACGTAATGATATTCTCGATGAAGTTTTCGGATGTAAAATACCACCAGATTGGAGGCCTAACAGTATGAACAGCAAGTCTTAGATCTCTTGGATGATTTAATGGTTTCTTTAAAGGCTTTTTGGTTGACCTTGGGCAAGCAGAGGTCTGGGTGGGAATGAACTAATAGTAGTCATACGAGTATATGCCTATCCTTTCCCATCGATTGCCATTCAATTTTATATTTATTAACTTAAATTCATATCAGAATGAAATTGTTTAGGTTTTGACCAAGATATGGCCACAAAAAGGGGAGAATTATTACAGAAATTTCGTTTTGTGCCATTGTCTACTCAAGAGATGAAAGATTTTGTTGCAAAAATTATTGATTTAGAATGAAATTAAAGCCCGAACGAATATTCTGTGGATCGTAGCCTGGGAGCACTTGTGGGCGGCCTATAAATATTTTGTTGCTGGATTGTCTCTGTCATTCTCTTACAGGTCTCAAGGCATCTCCACCTGTTGTCCGCCTGCCCAATAAGGTGTCAACTGTGATTTATGCACATTTAAGCAGAGTTACATGCAAACAACTGGTGGAACACAACTAGGGAACCAAGGGACGCTGGAACAATAACAAATTGTGAAGAAAAGCGAGCACAATGAATGCCCGAATCTGAGCTGAGCTGAGAATAGCTGAAGCAGCAGCAAGAGGCAGAGACAGTCGCAGTCAACAACAACAGTTGAATGTTGCGATGTGGATGGGACTTGAAGAATAGCGGACACTCCTTCAAGAGGCGCCACCACCAACGGAGACGTGTTCGCGGCCTGTGCCGCAATTAAAGCCAAACAAAACGCAAGCTCACATAAGGAGGAGAGACGGTAGAGGGAACGTGATAACAAGGCTTACAATGACGGTGTCTTCAGTGTCTCCTGAGTGCTGCTTGACACGTGAGCCCCAAGACGCAGGTTGATGCTGTTGCCGCTGCTTAAATTTAGAACGTATTCTCATTGTGGGGCCACTTGTGGGTAGGAATAGGAGGAGAAGGAAATACTCTACTGCTGCCCATCCAGAGTCACATTCACAACACTTTTCTATGCACTAATGGGCCATCATTAGAGGGATTTTGAGAGCCATGGGTTGGGGTTTCACTAAGAGAATCGCTTTGGAGGTGCCATTGAGGTGTATTTAGGGGAATCGAATGAGATTTAACTGAGGGAATCGGTTGCAGAATATGCTAGGAATTCGGATAAACTTTCACACTGCTTTGAGTTCATTTTTCAACCATGAACAGAGAAATTTTCGGAGTAATTTGATCAGATTTCACTTCACACTTTTGCCTGTACATTCCGAACGGATTTACGGAATCTTTTGGATGGACAGTTAACCTTTTAAGGAAAGGAAAATCTCAGCTTACAGATGGGAAATGGGATGTCACTGAGTAAATCACTTTCAGATTGCACTTTAGACACTTCCAAAAGCACTTGTAATCCATCAACAGAGGAATATTCACTTCAGCTGCAATCTTCAACCATTTAACAAAGGATTTTCACAGTGATTGCATGCGATTTTCCCCTCTCTACCTCTCTTCACCGGGTTTCAATGTCTTACTTGTTGGTTCTTCTTCCCCTTGAATAACTTCAGGCTGCTGCTGGCTGTTTGCTGCTGCTGCTGAATGTCGATGCTGTTGGGGCTGCTGCTTCTGCTGCTAGTATTTGCTGTCGATGCGAGGATGTAGAGGTAGAGCCTTTTGTGTGACCTAAAAGCACTGTGTGACTTTTTGGCTTCGCGTCTGTATGTATACTGGCAGTATCTGCACATATATTTTTGCAACTTTTCACCTGTACTTTCCACCCAATGGTCATCCTCTGGAGTGCTTTATATCTTCATTGATGGCTGCCATTTCCTTGCCTACTTGCGTGGGACACTTCAATTTTCGAATCTTAGGTTGATATTTAATTTTCACTCCTGAAGCGTTTTTCGCAGTTTTCTCGATTGTGGCTGGACTGGAGCAACCTCCACGCGCGTCTGATAAGACGCTGCCACAACACCATGGACCGACCCGACCGAGCGACAGAGCAATCATCCCTCATGCCATCGCTTCTCGATTCCCATAAATCTGAGGCTGCAAACTGGTCGAAATTGGCAGTGGGTATACGCTACAGTGGGCTTTGTTTCGCTCTACCAGTGGTTGCAGGTCCTGCTGGGTGGTGGATTGCTCTATGGGGAGGATTCTCTGTGGGCTGGCATAACAGGCGCCGCCTGTTGTCGAAAGGTTTGTACTTCGAGCGTGTTTTATGGTATTCGTATCACAGTTGTATAACGCTCTGGTAACTGCTCTTATACTTTCGAACAGTTTCATAGCTTGATTTGGTATACTGTCCTTCCATCTGTCCTACACCATACAGCATGCAAGAGGTGAACTGCTTTCAACGATTATCACAGCTTGGTTTTGCTATAAAATTAACTGCTTACACTGCTTTCATCCCATACTAATACACTGCTTGCCTACATCTAATTGAATTTCGGACTACTATACACCACAGGCAAAAAGGGGCAAGAAGCTTCTCCACTCCGAAAGTGTAACAACCAAAAACAGGAGATAAAACTGAACGAAAGCAGGACATGCGCAAAAGTCATGAATGGTGAATAGAGAGCAGAGCAGAAGCTCTTTGTGGCCAAGTAAAGTACGACACGAAGTCAAAGGGACTCGGGGACTCTGTGTCTCGGGGACATCAACAACAATTTGACAAGAATTCCTGCCTCAAATCCGACAACGACGGACCATTCAAAGGCGAAGTGTAACGGCGTGCTGACGTTGCTCCGTGCGTGCCGGATGTACCGAGGAATCCCAATCCCCCACTGGCGGATATACGTGATGAAGTTGTTCGAAGCGAATCGTTACGTTCCCATATACCGTGCGTGTACAACGACAGAGTTTTCGGTCTTGTCTCGTCGCGTCTTGTCGCTGTGTGGCATGCAACATGAGCAGTAAGCAGCATGGCATGGGGCTTTGGGCTTTAGATGAAGAATGCATGAGATGAGGCAAAGCCAAAGGCCGTGCACTGCCCGTGATTGAGTCTCGTACCCAATGCATTCCCTGACAATTGAGTGGCGCTTCCTTGATCCATACAACAGCCGCGTCGTGTGTGTCCCCAAAAGGGAAAGCTAAAACCCAATCGAATACCGGAAAGTGTTCTCCGTGTTCCGGCAAGTGAAAACCCGAAAAACCGATGACTACATTTAGTTAACGATCGTTCCTAGAGCATGTATTAAGCATATATTAACTTAATCAGCTAATCAATAATCAAAAAGGGAGAAAAGTTTCCAGAGAGAAAGTTGCTCCTGTGTGTCCCTAAGTGAATTTATCAAGTTACGATATTTACGTGATTCCGACCCAACAAACAAATGGCAAAAGTGCGTGAGAGCCCCAAATTGTGAGGCAGATGAGCAGTAGGTGACCCCCAGTAGGTCGACTGGCAGACCCCCCAAGAGCGGCAGAGCAGCGTGAAACTCCCCAGTCCTCCAATGCAGTTGGCCAAATGTGCGTTAGTTAGTGCCGATTCCAAACGGGGATTACAGATTGCAAAATGCGTTTGAATGAACCAACGAAAATAGCGCCTCCGAGAACAAAATCGAAGCAAGCCAAAGGAATAACCACAGCTGCAGTCAGTCACTCGATCTCTGTGTCCTCGCGACCAATTGAATGCTCCGTGCGAAATCTGATCAGGCTGTTCATCCTAACCACAACGATCATGGGCAGTGGCAGGGCCAGCGGTAGCATCAATCGCATCAAGGGAGTGGATTCCTATGGCTATGTCGAGCAGCTGGACGAGCTGCCCGCAAGAACCACACCCGCAGCAGCAGCAGTAGGAGAAGGAGGAGGCACCACTGCCACGCCCTCGGCGGACCACTTGCTGTTGACCACGTGGCGAGATAGTTACGGTAGGGAAAATTGCAAAATTATTTCTTGGAAATCAGTCACCCCCCAACAAGGGGGCGGTGGCCCATTAATACATATTATATAATTGCTTTTCAATGAAAGACTCGAAAGACTTTTCACTCTTTGAATACTTGGAAAAATTTATAAACATTATAAAACAAGAACAAAGCAATCGAACTAAAACTGGGCCAGCAAAAGGGATAATTAAGTTAAAAAATCAGAAAAATGCAAAGTGAAAAATGAGCATTTAAATTTAAATCAATCAAAAATGTTCCATTCATTCCAACTGCAATGTGGATAATGTTCCCTGTTTATCTCCCATGATTATCTCCACTAAGTGGAATAGGGTTTGCTTCCAAAAATAGGTTTCCTGATTCCCAGATTTTCCATATTTATTAGACACATTCAACCCGTTGCCTGGCCATACCCTCCATACAACATTTTGTGGGAAACAAGAAATTAGCATAGACCCTTCAGACAGACACCCAGCGAACACACATTCAGACTGTGTTGTGGGTGGCCATGTCATCAATTCTTAACTCGCCCTTTCCTCTCTCTTCGTCGGCAGCAGATTCGAATGAAATCGATAACTCCTATGCTGCCGCCGCCGCTGGCGGTGCTGCTGGGACCAGCCTGGCCTCTGAGGCCGATGGCAATGTCGATGTGGAGCCCGATTACGTCATAGATGTGGGCCAGACATCAACGGTGACCCCCAGCTCACAGACAGCCACAACGATCATTGAGCAGCGGCTGCTGGGGCGCTCACAGGATATGGAGTCGCTGTCGCTGCAGGCGGACGGAACAGGCGCCACAGCATCGGCCAAGGGTCCGCTCTCTGAGGCACCCAGTCGAAAGAACTCACTCAGCAGGGACGATATGACATTCCAGCAGATTGGTAGCCAAAAGATAAATGCCTTAATGCCGGCCACTGCGGCGACAGTTGGCGGCAATGCGAGCACTGCCACACCCACAGAACCCGCGAGGAACAGAACCAACAACGTTCGCACTTCGGCGGTGAGGGTGGATGGCAACAGCAAGCACTCGCTGCCCAAGGGGCAGAAAACGGATGCGCCCATGCTCAACTACATCTTTGACACGTTCTCGGCGGCCAACAAACACCACCATCACGATCAGAGGTAACTTGGGAGTGTGGAGTCTCTATTTTATGCTATAACACGTACCTGTCGGTCTCGCCTCACAGATACGGGCCGCATTTCGAGGACGCACAGCGGCTGGGCCAGGCCACGAATCTGACCGTGCAAGCTGGGTCCACCATCCACTTGAACTGCAGGATTTCGCTGCTGCAGGATAAGACTGTAAGTGCGACTGGCAGGGACCACTCTTCAAGTTTTTACCTGCATTACTTCCATTATTATTCGCAAGTTCAAAGCTCTGCTTGAAGCACTTGTATAGTTTTCCCGCGGATTTATCGATAAGATATGAGACCCTCAAAAATATACTTAAATATACCTTCTCACTTTCAAAATATACCGTAAATCCTAACTCATTTTCCTCGATTTAGATATTCTGCTTACTATTACCAGCTATTTAAAACTCTCAGCACTAAACTTATAAATTTATTAGATTCATCAAACATTTCTTCACAGACTGGCTAGTTTTCATGATTTCTTTTAATTTTATTGTTTAAAAAATAAGGCTCAAGCTAAAAAGGCCAAAAAAAAGAGCATGAACATGCGAGAGTGATGACACAATCCATATAAAAGAGCATCGATTACTTTTACAACGCTAACATTGCATCGACTATCTATCAGTATTTGAAAATTGTAAAATTAACGTTATACCCACCACAACATTTAGGTATCTTGGGTGCGACATAATACGCAGGACGAGGAAAACGCCCTGGATCTGCTGACGGTGGGCATGCACACATACACGGGTGATAAACGCTATAAGATGGAGTTCCAATATCCCAACAACTGGCGACTGAAGATAACGAATGTGAAGAAGGATGACGAGGCCATCTACGAGTGCCAGATCTCGACACATCCGCCCCGCCTCATACAAATTAACTTGCATGTGAATGGTAAGTAGCCATCAGGCGATAAATTGCAAGGGAAGTCATTGAATTCCTTTGGCACAGCTCCGAAAGTGATGATAGTGGACGAGGTGGGGGATCCGCTGCAGGAGAAGTACTACGAGATTGACTCCACGCTCCAGCTGTCCTGTGTGGTGCGCAACGTGGCCATGAGCAGCTCCGTGGTGTACTGGAAGCACATCGACGATGTCCTCAACTATGACGTGACACGCGGTGGTGTGAGGTGAGTGGGGCAGGCCATAGCCAGTACTCTCTGCTAACAATAATCCTCCATTGCAGCGTCAAAACCGAACTGATGGAGGATGGAGCCAACTCCACGCTCTCCATAGCGAAGATCAGCAAAACCGATTCGGGGAATTACACCTGCTCGATCAGCGAGTTTCAAAACTTTACCATTGTGGTGCACATTCTGAATGGTGAGTCCCCCCAGCCTATGGAATCAGGAATCTATGGGTAAAACTGTTTATTTTTTCTCCCTTTGTAGGCGAAAGCTTTGCGGAGCTGCATCATGGCGGGGCAGGAGCTGTGCAGGCCACGTGGCAGCATCTGCTGGCACTGCACTTCCTAATGCTCATCCTGCTGGCCGCGAGTAGACTTAGGGCAGAGTTTAGGTAAGGTTCCCAGTTCTTTTTGTTAGGATAAGCGAGTGGAAGCGACACATACACTTTTTGTTGAGTAATTGTAAAGATTTTGAATTTGATTGAGGGCCCCGGGGGCATGGCACAGGAGAGTTATTAGAAATAACTAAAAAAATAAAACCAAAATGAATAAGAAAAGTAAATAAAACGCAGCCTAAGTTCAACTCCAACGCGATCGTTCGTGTTTGCTGGCTATTATAGATATGTTTCTACGTCTATCATCAATTTGTACATGAGCAGGAGCACGCCTAGGATTAAGCTTAGTGTAAGAGAAGGTGGTACAAGAGGTACGCAGAGGCCAACGAATTTCCCTAGCAGAACGACACCAGTACGGTCTGGTCTGGCCTAGATCTAGTTGATACAGGAATGTAAAGCATTATATCTAAGTCACCAGAGGAGGAGCAGCCTCAGCATCGGCATCAGCTGAGATTTGATAAGCAGAAGAACTCCTACGGGGACTATTCAATGTTGAACTAACTATAAAGTGCAATACTGTCACATACATATTATATACATACACTCACACACAACAACAACATACACATACAAGCAAGCGATCGACTAAATGATATGTTAATAAACGAATACTCGTATGTACGCAATAATAAAGTGAACTATATATGAGTGCAAAGTGAATTCAGAGCTGCAACTTATTTGAAATTTGATTACACCATACAATATCGATCTATCGATCAAAGTGCATTCTTATTCAACCCATCGGTAGGCAATCAAAACAGCTGTTTTTTACAAGGGAAAACTTGTAAACAAAATTTACAACTTTGATTTTCGGGTGGCAAAGTCCATTATGGCCTGAATGAACTCTTCTCCCTGGATACGATTAAGGAGTTCCGTGCACTCAGCATCATTGGCCTTCAGCAGGCTCGCTAGGAAGCCCTCCCTGATCAAGCGTTTTCCCTCCTTCAATGAAATTGGTGGCAAGGTGGAAAACTCACGCAACTTGGGCCAGATAACAGAGTCTAGATCCCCGGTCTTGTAGATGCGAGACACAAAGTTGAAATTGTACGCCTCGGCGGACGATAGCTTCTCGTTGAGCAGCAGAACCTCCGAGGCCTTGGAGCGACCAAGAATCATGGGAAGCAAAAAGGAAGAGCCTCCCTCTGGGACAAGGCCCAGCTTGGTGAATGGAGCGTAAAAGTATGCCTAAAATGGATAAGAGTTGGCTGTTTAGCAACGGTTATGGAAGTGTAAAGATCCGATTTACCTCCTCTGCACACCAGGCGACATCGCTGAGGCCCACAATGGTGGCGCCGATGCCAATCGCAGGACCATTGACCAGGCTAATCACAATCTTGTCGCAGTTTATAAAACCCAGCACCATATCTTTGAAAATCTTATTGGACTCTACGAGATAAGCTTGGATGTCGTCCGTTTGGCCACTTGGGGATAAGTTATTTCCGGCCGTGAAGAAGTCGCCCACGCCGGTAAACACAATTACGGTCACGTCCCCATCATCGTTCACTTCACTCAGCACGCGAGCCAGTTCCTGGTATGCCACACGATTTAGGCAGTTCTTCTTTTTGGGATTGTTGAATTTTACAATCAGAAGCTTCCCCTGCTTCTCCACGAGCAGCTCCTGGTACCCTTGGTATGCTGCCATCTATCTTTATGCTAATAATCGCATTTATTGCGACCAAGTGGTTGACAAAGTCCAATTTAGCTTGTTGTTACCGCCATCGGATTACCTTTTTGTGCGAGTGTGCGTTTGTCGTTGCTTTGATTATAGAGATGAACGATAGTATCGTTCTTAAGTATTTTTAAAGTCACTGTTCACTGCTGAATGAAAATGTAAACACAAACAGAAACTGCCTGGTACTTGGCCTTTCTTATAAGAAATTGCATTAGTCAAGCCATTAATGTGGCTTATTGCTTGTGCTGCTTAAGTTAGCATCCATATATGTTTAATTTTAGTACAATTCCAGTAATTGAGACCCATTTTTCAAATCACAGATACGTGAATCTTTTTATATCGATCTGGCAGCACAAGAGTACGGCAAAACATTACAAAATTGTGGAGGGGGCTCTTATTACTTTTGCAATAAAATCATAAGAAAACTTATAAGAAAACCAAATTGTTTAGAGTTTTGATTTGCGTTTTCCAAAATTCCTTATGACCTGTAAGAAATCCTCTGCGTGAAAACGATTGATTAGCTCCTTGCACTCAGCCTCATGAGCTTTCACGAGGTTCTCCAGGAAGCCCTCTCGGACCAAGCGTTTTCCCTCCTTTAAAGAAATCGGGGGCAAAGTGGAAAACTCACGCAGCTTTGGCCAGACCACGGAGTCCAGCTCCTTGGTCTTGAAGACACGCGACACAAAGTTGAAATTGTACGCCTCGGCCGACGATAGCTTCTCGTTGAGGAGTAGCATTTCCGAGGCTTTAGAACGACCAAGAATCCTGGGCAGCATATAGGAAGATCCTCCTTCTGGTACTAGGCCCAGCTTGCTGAAGGGTGTGAGAAAGTATGCCTGAAATGAACAGAAATAGGTTCAAAATCGAGCTAAGATCAACGGGTCAAGTTCAGACTTACCTCCTCTGCACACCAAGCGACATCGCTGAGCCCCACAACGGTGGCGCCGATGCCAATTGCCGGGCCATTGACCAGAGCGAAAACGATCTTCTTGCAGTTTACAAAGCTCTTCACCATGAATTTGAAAGTGACATTTGACTTTACGAGATATTCGGTAAGATTGTCAGCTTTGCCACTTTCTGATAAATCTTTCCCAGCCGTGAAGAAGTCGCCCACCCCGGTCAACACAACTATTGTCACATCGGCATCATTGTTTACTTCGCCCAGGACGCGGGCCAGCTCCTTGTAGGCCACGGGACTCAGGCAATTCTTCTTTTTGGGATTGTTGAACTTGACTATCAGAATTTTGTCCTGCTTCTCCACAAGCAGCTCTCGGTATCCGTGGTAGTTCATCTCTGTGGTGTTCTGTGTATGGCAGTGCTCTCGATCAAGGGGCTGACAAAGTCAGATTAATGCTGTGTTATCTCATGTTTACTGTTGTTTGTTTAAGCCTCCGTTATCTTATTGAACTACAAAAACAATTCCATTCGGTCTTAAAATAAAAAAGGCGCCAAAGAGATGTCAACTTTTTCACTTCCAATTATTTTTATGGTCACAAATCACGGACAAGAGAAGATGAGTACAGAAACCTGCTGAAGTTTAATATGGAGCAGCATAGATTTGCTTCACAGTCACGTCACTGTTGTCACCACACCCCATCTCTGGCAGAATGAATTGCCTCGCATTGATCTGGCAACACTGGCAAGTACCGCTAAGCTTGAAAAAAAGATTAGATGTTTTATTTTGCGCTGTATGTACAAAATTCAATATTATTCGCTAATCTCATCGATGACGGGCACATTCGCTAGCTCGGAGCATTTGCGCTTCCACTGTGCGAGCTGTTCCCGCAGCACCTTCTCTTTGGCGGCGGCGCGCGTAAGCAGAATTTTGGCCTTTTGCAGCAGCTGCGTCTTCTTCAAGAGTTGTTCCTTGATGAATTTAAGTTCCGCGTTGGTGACGTCCTTAAAAGGTTTGAAAAGCGCTAATTATGAACAAAAACGTACACGGTATAGTATTTTCGACTAACCTTGCTGAGTCCACCGCATTGGCTGCACTTGGTCCGCTTTTGGAGCTCTTGCTGAAGACTGGCAATCTTCTGCAGGGACGCTGCATGCTGCTGCTGCAACTGCGCCACATCTGGTGATGGGGCCGCGGAGTCTGTTGAGCTGCGTGACTCGGTCGAACGTCTCCCGTCTTTGAGGAACTTGTTCTCAGATCGCAGCTTCTCCACCAGATTGCGAAGCGAGAGAATCGTGTGCTCTGCCGACTGGCCCTGTTGGGTGTTTAACTTGAGGCCGCTGCACTTGCAGAGTTCCCGACGTGACTCATTCCTTGCCATTTCCTCCTTCAGAGCGATAATGTAACTGAAAAAGGATACATAAAAGATTCGTGATTGTAATGTCTTCCCTTGGACTCTTTTCATGCTGTACTTACTCCTCCAAGTGCTTGATGCGCTTCTGCAATCTATCGCTGCTGTCGTTCTGCCGCAGAACATCCGATTCCAGCTGCAGTTGGAGATTCCTTGCCTCCATCCGTATGTTCTGAGCCTCTACGCTCTGCAGGCGCTCTTGAAGTTTCTCCAGTTCGGTGGTGAGGGCGTTGCTGCCCCGCCCTTCCAGCTCCATGGCAATAATCTTGCGCTGCTGCAGCTCAATGCGGTTCTTCAAGGCCTCGATAAGGTCCACCTGGCTTCTATCGTAGAAGTCGTGGTTATCCCTCGGCTGCGGATGATGCGCTGGGGAACTGCACTCGCTGCTGGGTCCCGTGTATGTCTCGGGGCTCTCCGACGGAGAACACGAGAACTTGTTCACGCCCACGTGCTGCAGATTGGGACACGAAGGTGTGCGGCAGCACTTGAGGGAATTATTCGTAGCAGTGGCTGGTACTCCGCGCGCGACTTTGCTCTCCAGCAGATGCTTGTCCTTCTCCAGCCTGGCAATCGTGGTGCGTGCCGCCTGCAGCAGGGCCCGCGTCTTGTCCAACGCCATCTCCGTTTCGTCCAGCTTGGACTTGTACTTGTCAGCCTGCTGCTGCCAGCGCTTTTGCTTCTCCCACAGACCCACCTCGTTGGCGGTCCGATTGCGCTTTGCTTCCAGCATCCTTTGTTGGCGCTGCAGTTGCTCGCGAGTCTCTTCCAGCTCCGTCTCCAGCTGCTGGATGCGCTTCTGCTGGTTCTCGTTCTTCACTCGAGCATTGAGCTCCGTTTTAATGGAGACCACGGGCCGCTTGAGCAGTTGCTGGCGCAGCGACTGGGTAAGTTCTCGGGCCTGCTTCTCGCGCTGTGTGACATTCGTCAGCTGTCGGCGCAGGGCCTCCATTTGCGTGTGGTAGATCTTGTTGGTTGCCTCTGTCCGATTGAGATCAGCAGCCAGCTTGCCAATCTGCTCCTCCGAGTAGTTGGAAGTGTCATTGATGTACCTTTGCTGATCATCCTGCGGCATGGAAAGAGACTTTAACTTTACATTTCTCTGCAGGATTCAATGCTGGTAAGTTACTTACATGGAAGTTTTTCAGTGTATCCATTAAATCTTTTATATGCTTATCCTTCTCCTCCAGGAAGGCGCGTAGCTGATCAATTTCTGGACTTGGCTGAGCCTCCACGGACTTTTCGCGCTCCTGGCAGAGTTTTAATCTGAAAAAAAATGATGAGATTTAATATCTGATTGATCCTCTGGGTTATTACTGACTTCTCCTTTAATATTTCCACTTCATCTTCTTTTGTTTTCAGACTCTTTTGGATGTACTCTAGCTTGTCCTTTAGCTCCTTGATCTGCTTGTGTAGAGTCGGCAGTTCCTTGAGCTCCTCAGTGTCCTGCTTCTCCTGCTCTTCTTCTGGCTCGTCGTCCAGTACTTCCACAACCTCCACCTCGTCTTCTTCGTCGATGACTTCCTCCTCCACTGGTCTCTCTGGTGAGCTGCTGGTCTCAAACATTTCTTCGATTTTCTCGTCCGTAAGGTCATGAATCGAATGCTCTGCACTCTGCACGGAAGCTGCTGCTGCCACCGAGTCGTTGGTGGTCTGCTCCAGCTTGGATCGCAGCTCCTGGATCT